AGAGTGGGGAGAGGGAGAAGCAGACTCCCTGCTGAGCAGGGAGCCCGATGCGGGACTCGATCCCGGGACTCCAGGATCATGACCCGAGCCGAAGGCAGTCGCTTAACCGACTGAGCCACCCAGGCGCCCTGGAGACTGAGGTTTTGGTACACTAGAGTTGTACTCTATGAAAGCATTCGGACTCAGAAATCTCAAATCGCTGTGCCAGCCAGGCGGAGCCATTTTTTGAGTAGGGGTAGGGAGACTGCTCCTTCGCAGCCTCTGAGTTTTATCCTGTACCATATTACCTCCTAAGCAAATTAGCCCTCCGGTAAGAATTTACACGAGAACATGTGATACACCTGAAAAATGCGAATTACAGCAAGCAGGTTGGACTGAACCAGGTTGTGGCTGGGAGATGAGGTTGGCTTTAAGTCAGTAGGGTTTTGCTGTTGGGTGATGTTTATTAACATTTGCCTGAGAATCATAAAATTTACTTCTTAGATCCTTAGTTTACTTTCCTCATTTAGTATGAGAAAACTTATGAGTCCTGCAGAGAAATGACTTAAAAAGGGCAAGTTCTTAGCTATGCCCCCAGTTTCCCTACTCGTCGACTGTACCATATGCTGTTGCAGTTGTTTCCGCAGGGGTATCACGGGAGAAGAGATTGTCATTTCTGAAAGGCAGTGTGGCTGCCTTGGGTAGGACAGAGTTAGAATCAGGACCCATAATTAGAAAACTGTCCTCATTCAAGGACAGTGTCACTCTTGCTTACAGTTGTATCCCTAGTGCCTAGCAGGGTGTCTGGCACATAGTAGATAGAAAGGTATGAACAAAAATACCAGGTCCAGGAGTCCTGTAGAGAAATGACAAATCTTGATGATGAGCAGTTTGGAGAGGTGAAAGGGTAGAGTTGGATACACAGGTTCCTTGTGCATTAAGCTTTCAGCAAAGGGAAGGAAGGGATGACTGCTGACTTAGTTTCTAGGAAGGATTTTCTTAGTGAACTAAGCATTTAGTGATTTAGAGCCAGACCTCTGACAGTGTAATTGAGGTTGGCACTAGTGCAGTGGTCAGCACTTCCTTTGGGGATTAGAGAACTAGTTGGACTCTTTCCTTGAAAAGAGGCACTCTAGTGGTTGAGATTCTGTGCTCTCCTAGACTGCTTGAGTGTACGTTTAACTTTGTGGTCTCAGGCAGCTTCGGTAACCGCCACTGCCCTGCCTTAGCCTTTTCACCAGTACACGGTACAGATAGATACCACATAGGCTTACTAGGACTACAGTAGGACCTGTGAAGTGCTTACACACAGTACTCGGTATATTACTGCCACGGTGCCTGGCTATACTCTTATTCCTTGGGAGTAGGAAGAGAGAGGCATTACAAAGCCTATAGGCCTTGGAGTGTGCTTAGGAAACATTTAGGAGAGAGCCCTGTATCTGATGTGTTACTATACAGAGATACATCAGCAGGAGACTCTTAACAGATGGATGAGTAGCCTTGGGGAAAACTCCCATGAAGGATGGGAGCAGGCAAAAACTGGAGGGCCCGAGCCTTGGAGGACTCCTTCAGTTGTAAGGAGATCTGGACAAGGGAGGTAAGTTTAAAGGTGGGAGGTAACCAGCTGAGTGAAGTGGCTCAGATACTGAGGAAGAGCAAGTAGTCAGGAAAGAGGCGGCATAAGTCTAGAGCTGTTGTAAAGCCCTCAACTATGAGGGCCGAGGAGGTTGGAGAAAGGGGTGATTAAGGAGCTCCGGAGAGAGTACGGCAGTGAGGCGCCGGTTGTTGTTTCTGACAAGCCTTTCCTTGGAGGAGGAAGAGAGGCACGTGAATTAAAGGAAAGCCTTCTGGAGGAGGAGAGTAACTTTCTTGGTAGCAGTGGTGGAGAAAAGTTCGGGGAAACTTCATGCTTGACAATTAGTACTGTACGCTTGCCTCATGCCGGTTCTCTGTAGCTGCAGATTCACGCAGTACCTGCAGGCTAAGTAGTGGCATCGTATTTCAGAAAAGAAAGCATCATGGAAGTTAAGCAGTGTTCCTAAGGTAGCAAGCTAATACATGTCTCCACTGGGATTCATCAAACCCACATCTGCTTGACTTCCAGTGGATGGGCACCATGGGAAGTCGAAGGTGGGTTTGGGACAAAATTTCTTCTCTGGAAACTTACTCTGGCCCTTGTTTCTCCCTGGAGTTCCTGAGATGCCCTAGAAAGGTTCCTTCTGGAGCATCAGGTTGCTTAGCTTAGTTGTCTTAAGATGTCTTTCTGTATGTTTTGTAGCAACAGGCAGGTCTTTGACTTGGGCCAGTTGAATGTCAGTACAGTAAACTAATAAGAGCTCAAAGCACTTGCCAGTGGGTTTGGATGAGTCTTCGGTCATAACGGACAGGCAGCATGTGACTTAGGAGGAGGTATGGGATGAAAATTGCTTCTAGTTTTGTGTATGGTGTAGTGATCAAAGGCTCTCCTATTGGGAATGGCCCTGGGCTGGAATATATTAACTGGATAGTTGGTATGTTAAATGTAATATATTAACCAGAGTTTAGGCCTAGGTCTGGCCATGCTAACCATTATAAGTTCTAGGAGTCAAAATTATCTCTTTTCTATCTTACACAAAAATAAATTCCAGGTGGATTAAAGAGAGGCATTGGATTAAAGAGAGGCATTTTTGGGGTTTTTTTTAGTACCAGAAGAAACCATATAAAATGACAATGGGGGAGGGGCGCCTGGGTGGCTCCATTGTTAAGCGTCTGTTAAGCGTCTGCCATCGGCTCAGGTCATGATCCCAAGGTCCTGGGATCGAGCCCCACATCGGGCTCCCTGCTCCGCGGGAAGCCTGCTTCTCCCTCTCCCACTCCCCCTGCTTGTGTTCCCTCTCTCGCTGTGTCTCTATCAAGTAAATAAGTAAAATCTTTAAAAAAAAAAAAAAATGACAATGGGGGAATAATTGTAATATGAGAGGACAAATAATACAAAGTGAATAGAGATCAAAAGATAGCAGAAAAATGGGCAAAACTCAGACAATTCAGTAAAGAAGAAAATCACACGTCAGCTACATGATTATCTCACAGGAAAAGAGATTGGCAGGACAAAGCCACCTAAGTTTTTTCCCTGCTGTCAACTTAGCAAAAATTTAAAAACCTGAAACTCCATCTTTAGTATTCACTAAGTCTGAGAAATGGGGCGGTCATGTGCTGCTGGTAGTAATACAAATGAGACACTAATGGGCAAATGGTCGGCATTTAGAAGTTTTTAAAATGTATATCCTGTGACCCAAGAATCTCTCTCTCGAAGGTCGGCTGCTGGAGGGTCTTCAGGGCGACCAGCATGGTGTCACCGCGCGGGGCAGCCCCGGGTGCTGCCCACCGGGCACGGTCTGTGCTAGCGATTCTAGATGAAGGGATTTCTTACTGAGAAGCAACTGAATATGCCCCCCAAATACTTGTATTAGTTTTTGAGCACTAGGTGCATCTCTTCTGTCACCTTCCCTATCCCACCCCATGCAGTAAGTTTGAAAAAAAAGAAATTGGACAAATAAGTAGTTTGAAGTAGTTTGAAAAAAAATTTGGACAAAATAATGGAAGTCCTACATAGTAGGTAGTAAATATGGGTCAGCCAACAAATCCAGAGTTCAGAATGTGTAGGCAGAAGCTAAAAATGGTGCCTGTATCAAGGCTTTCGAAAAGATGGCAGGCGGCCCTGTGCAGACTGCCTCTTGGTGATGGCTTGTGGGGCAGGGCTTAGGATGCATACTTATCGGGCAGCTGAATTACTGAGACACTGAATGGGTTAAAAAAAGGGGGGGGGAGTCTGGGGTCCTGGCAGATAGACCAGAGCGTGGTGGATGTAAAGGCTGCCCTCCTCTCAAGCAGGCCCAAGATTGCCAGATCTTCTGTCTGCTTGCCCTTGCCCCAAAACCTAGACATCCTGAATTTGTGAAATTTTCTGACTTAATAGTGTGTGTTTTAAATATGTTCAGCCTGGGGACTACCGTTTTATGCTATGTGGATTGATGGTCTCTAGATCTTACTTAAAAAAGATCATTTCCACATTTTTCAAGTGGACTTTCTCATTTAGCTCATGAGTGAATTGTGCCAGTAAGACTGGATCGTACACCACACTTTGAGTTTTTTAACTTGTATCCTTGAAAATACTTAATTTGGTATGCCCAAATCTTACTATCCCAGACTAGTTCCAGGGGTCTAGAGAAATTAGCTCAGGAAGTCTCAACTGTAGACCCTTAGGTCTACAGGCACAGGATGGAGAGTCCTGACCCCCAAGAAAGCACCTTGGTTTGAACATGAAGCTGCATGTCCTTGGCTCACTGAATGATTCCAGGCCCCACTTTGCCTTCTCCAGAACTTTCGTGGAGAAACACTGTTGCTCTATGAGACTCTTCTGCCAGGCATCCATGTGTTCCCTCTCTAGGGTAAAAGATCAAAAAGCTTTTGAACTGGGGGTTTGGTACAGATTTGTCCATTTTGGTGAAGTAATTTGTGTATAAGCACATCTTGGTTTCATTAAACAGGAAGTTGTTCATTGTTCTGTCTAGTGCGTAGCACAGGGATAGCATTAGTATAATTTACAGTACCTGAGGCAGATAGTACTGTATTAGACTCGGTAATGCTTTGGCCCAGCATTTGACTAGTCCTGACTGACCAACTGAAATTTTATGTCTTGCAGATGCCGTGGATGGAGTGATGAATGGCGAGTACTACCAGGTACAGAATACTCTGATTATGTTAAAAGATAGTGGTTGAGTCTTCCTTTCTTGTGATTTAAATTGATTGACCTAGAAAGGACCCCACTCCTTTGACTTTCCTAGATGTATTAGTACTGGGTATGTTACCTGCTAAAATGGAAGGATTTGAAGAGAAGTGACATTGATCATTCCTTTAAAACATTACTGACCTGGCCCTAGTATTACTGATTTTACTCTCAAGAAATGAGCTTTCAGGGGCGCCTGGGTGGCTCAGTTGGTTAAGCGACTGCCTTCGGCTCAGGTCATGATCCTGGAGTCCCGGGATCGAGTCCCACATTGGGCTCCCTGCTCAGCAGGGAGTCTGCTTCTCCCTCTGACCTTCCCCCCCATCTCATTCTCTCTCTCAAAATAAAAAAAATCTTTAAAAAAAAAAAAAAGCTTTCATGGTGATGATGATAGCAATGGCTAATTTAAACACTATGTGCCATGCACTGTCAGGCATTGTTTATATTTACTCTTTAATTCTCTCAACAACCTGGGGGACCTGTACTATTATTCCTGTTTTACAAATGACGAAACTGAGGCACAAAGTAGTCTAAAAGTAACAAAGCTGGTATGCAGTGGGGCCAGCATTTGAACCTTTGAGATTGTCTTGGGGGAAGGGGGGCTGGAATTTGTGGTGACTGCCATTATTTTCCCTCTGTATCACTAGGCGTTGAGTTGCCAGCCCAACTCAGATTAGCTTAAACACAAAAAGTCTTACCGGTTTATATAACTCAAGTTATATATGGACATATATATATAAGGACATATATATATATGTATGTCCTTCAACCAGGACTCTCAGTTCCCCTGGGACTCTGGCTCTGCTTGCTAAGTGTGCATTTTTGTGCTCAAGCTTTTTTCTTGGTGGTCAAATGACTACAGCACTTGTGGGCTTCTCATGTGCGTGACATGTTATCTAGAACAAGATGGGGGTTTCTCCTCTTCTCCCAACCACCCAGCAAAAATCTTGCATTTCCTTCTGGAACAACTGGAAGTAGTCACTACAGCCTGGGGAAATAGCATGATGCTTTGCTTATGCCTGGGTTTCTGCCCATCCCTCAACCAGTTCACCGGCAGGAAGGATGTTAGTCTAATTGGTTTAAACCAAGGATGGACTGACTTTTTCGTAAAGTACCAGATAGTAAACATTTTAAGCTTTGTCGTAACTGTGTCAAACTACTCTTGCTGTAATGTGAAAGCATCCACAGACAGTACATGAATGAATGCACCTGGCTGTGTTCCAGTAGAATTTAATTACAAAAACAGGCAGCTGGCCTGGACTCTAGTTTCCAGTGCCTGGTAGAGCTTAGCCCTTAGAGTGAGACAGAATGGGGTTTAGAACCTGGCTCTACCTCTTACTAGCTGTGAATTGGACATGTCATTTCTCTCTGCCTCAGGTTAGTCCCATCAAATGTGAAATGAGAATCAAAACTTTGCAAGTTGCGTGGGAGAGAAAGCTTTTATGTGCCTGACACATGGAAAGTGTCAATAAGTTAGTTACTAATACTTTCAATAATTCTTCCATCTTTTTATAGTCTGATTAGGTGAACCTGGAATTTATTCCCTAGTTCAACAGATGAAAAATTTTCTAAAGATTAAATTCTATTTGAGTTTTATCAGTTTATTAGCTGTCAGACCTTACCGACTATAAAGAATCTGCCCCGCATCCCCCCCCCAACTTGTGACTCCTATTTGCTTGCCTTTTTATTCTTTTTCTTGGTGTGACTAGTGACTACATGTTTTCTTTTGGACTCCCTTTTACCCAGAATTCACTTGTTTTGGTTAGGTGGTATCAAGTGCTCTTTTTCCTGCATTATGTAATAGCATTTAGAAGTTTTAGGTTCTAGGCCTTGCTGTGCAGTGTATTTACCTTTGTTACTCTGAAGATCCCACATAAGCTGTGTGTCAAGTGAGGAAAGTGAAATCATTAACACTGTTTCCTAGTCAATCCATGACCCACCTCCCCTGCTTTCCTCTCTCCCACTTCTGTCCCAGTTATTAGGAGGCAGGCTGACAACTACTCTGCCTCCCTTGTGGATTGTAAGGATTAGGTGCAGTAATGTTGAGAGCTCCCTATGAGCACGTAAGGTTGTGTTGTTGCTTTTAAGGTAATCCTTTAACATGTTAAAGTGGCCGTCAGTACATAACCAGGGGTGTTCTACTGTGTATGAAGCGCATTTCAGGAAGGCGTGTTTGGTACTGATAGAACACAATTGTTTTTTGTGTTAAGGAGAGTAATGGTCCAACAGACAGTTACGCAGCTATTTCACAAGTGGATCGATTGCAGTCAGAGCCTGAAAGTATCCGTAAATGGAGAGAAGAGCAAACGGAACGCTTGGAAGCCCTTGGTAAGGAATCTTTTTTTTTCTGTCTTTGGGTGTCTTGTTTTCAGTGGAATAATTGACCTTGACTCTTAGCCCTTTTTAACTGGAATTAGCCATAATGTCCTTGTCTAGTATTTGGGAAGATCTCTTCCTCAGCCTGAGGGGTCACAAGGCCACCCACAGGGAGATGCTTAATTACAGGCCATTTTGTGAGGAATAGGGCAGTTCAGAGAGGCACCACCAAGTGCATCCTCTCGGGAAGAGCAGAGCAGAGGAGAGTCTTGAGTTTGCAGTGAAGAAGGAGTAGGTTCAAGGTCCAGCCTTAATTCTTCCAGCTGTGGGCACTTGGTGGTTCAAACCTTGTAGAGTTTGTTTCTTCGTCTGTGGGGTGAGATCAGTGTTACCACCTCCAGGGTTCGTCTGAGATGGTGTTTATGAGAGTGTTGTGTAAACTTGAAGGTCTCCAGGTAAGAGACTTCAAGGTCCATTTATCGTTTCTCGGCTGAATTTAAGGTAACGCTTTAATAAGAAAATGTGAAGTATGTTAGGAAACGTGTACAATTTGATTTTCCTACTCTCATATCCCTGTAAGCTAAGTTTGTATGTTTTTGTAAGTGAGGAAAGTGAGACTTCTCGAACAAGTTTTTGAATCACACAGCTGAGAAGCAGTAGCGTCAGAACTCAGCTTATGTCCGCCCTGCTTCATAGCCCATACCCCCACCATCCACCAGCCACGATGGCATGTCGTGTACGCCGTCCCGCTGAGACCAGTGCCAGCCGGCCTGGCCTTTGGTGAGGAACTGTGTGCGCGGGCTGTCGCTTTTGGTCAAGATCAGGAGACTTGGTATCTGTATGTAGGTGGGTTGCAGAGGTATGGCACAGTGTGGAGATAAAGCCATGGGGTATTCTTTCCTCAGCTTTTTATTAAATATTCAAACACAGGGGCGCCTGGCTGGCTCAGTTGGTAGAGCGTGCAACTCTTGATCTTGGGGTCGTAAGTTCAAGCCCCACATTGGGTGTAGAGATTACTTAATAAAACTTGAAATAAAATTTCAAACCAAATAGTTAAGAGTAAAATGAACTTGTGCGTACCCCCTTAGATTCAGTGATTAACATTTTGCCATATTGGGTTATCTTTATGTAAATGAAGCATGTATGTATGTATATGTTTTATACACACACATTTCTGATCCACTTTCAGATACATCATCTGTTTCATGGTTAAATATTTTATTGTATATCTGGAAATAACGATGTTCTTCTGTGCACCAACAACGTCAGCATTATTAGTCCTTCATGGGAACCAATGAATTAGTAAAAACTGACTCCTTGTTTTTCAGATAGGGTTAACTGATACCTAGAAGTAGGACCCAGTTAGTGCCAAATCTGTTCCCTTTCCAGCCCAATTTATGTGGCTTTCAGAAAAAAGGGCACACTTCTGTTTGGACCTTTATGGCACTCTCCAGTAGAATTTCTTGGATGGAAGTAGTACAGATCTGTGCTGTCCCGTATGGTAGCCACTAGCCACATGTGGCTCTTAATCACTTGAAATGTGACTAGTATGACTGGGAAACTGAAGTTTTAATGTATTTTAATAAGTAGCCACATGTGGCTAGTAGCTACTGTACTGGATAGTGCAGCTTTAAAAAAAAGATGAAAACTGTCTTCATGAGATGCTGGTAGCTTTAGTCGTGGCCTGTTCCTTGTGTGTCTCTTCTGAGTGGGCGGAGAGGCAGGACTTTGCTGGTACTAGTATTTGTCAGATTACAGAACCCAACTTTTATCTTTTCTCTTTTCCCGAAGTTTAGCAAAGTTTTCTGCTCCATGGAGAGAGTACACTTTGGTCATGTTGGGGTCTGGGAAAATTGCCTCCCCCCCCCCCCCCCCGCTTCAGTGATCAGATTGGGCACTTTGGGAATATTCCATGAAGTGTTGTTTTCTTAAGATGCTTTTCTGAAGTCAAACATTGGGCTTTGCAATTGAATTAAATTGGTCTGTGAACTAGGTGTTTCTTCAGTTTCCTCTTTTTTTCTTTGCAAAAGCTGTGAGAATGCACAAGATGCTAAATATAGAGAACCAGTGTGCGTGGTTTTCAGCTTAGCTGGTGACTGCGTTCTCACAGAGTTTTCTTTTCCGTGAACAGTAAGAAGGACTGCCCAAGAAGATGGCTATCAGTGTGCCCTGCTCCCCAAGGGGACTCTTCAGCTTTCCCTCCCTCTTCTCATGCCCAGATGCAGATTATGTTGTCGCTTGGATCTTTGTCCTACTGAGCTAAGCATTTAAGAACTCTAAATTCCGTTTGTTTTTTTTTTTTAAGATTTTATTTGAGAGAGACCGAGAGAGCACAAGCAGGGGGCAGGGGGGAACAGCAGAGGGAGAGGGAGAAGCAGGTTCCTCGCTGAGCAGGGAGCTTGGTGCAGGGCTCAGTTCCGGGACCCTGGGATCATGACCTGAGCCAAGGGCACACGCTTAACCAACTGAGCTACCCAGATGTCCCAGAATTCTAAATTCTTATTGCCAGTGTCACTTTTTTCAAAAATCTGTAAAAGCAAGAAGACAATTTAAAGGGATGGTTTTATGCAATAACTACAATCTGTGCAGATGGTTACAATTTTTGTTCAGATTAATTTTTCAGAGATAAATTTCTGTGCTATTTTATTCCTAGTATATTAAAACTTTAAAAAAATCTTTAGACTACAAAGAAAGGAAATACTCTCCAATCAAAAAGTAGTGTTTCAGAAGTGATTTCACCACTCTTGAGAAGGAGATTTTAACCGTAGTATTTTTCAGTTTCTTGTCCACATGCACTGCCAGCCCACAGCATCTCCCACCGCATCCTAGCGCCCTCCATTCCACTTCTACTTAATGCCATGGACACATATCAGAAGTCTGCTGTATAGACTTGACTCATCACTGGAAATCTGAGTAAAAGAATTCTGAGTGGGGCGCCTGGGTGGCTCAGGTCATGATCTCAGCGTTGTGAGATTGAGCCCCATGTCGGGCTCCACGCTGCGCATGAAGCCTCAAGACTCTCCCTCTCTCCCTTTGTGGGTTCCCCCCATCTCTCAAAAAAAAAAATTGATAGGTCACCTCTGATAAGTTAAATAACAGGGTAACAAGTTCTTTATAATCTGAAACTTTGGGGGAGTTTCTAGCTGCTAACAAGCTATTTCCAGTAGTTACAGACACAGCCTTCTGCAGGTTGTTACTGTAAGACGTTCTTGGGAAGGACCTAAAAATGCCCTAAAGTGCTTCATTTCTTCCCTTCACTCGCTGGCACCACCACTGCTTTCTACTCTTCCAGGTTGCTAGCTAGTTACAGGTTGGGCTCTGGCTCTGCACTGTCCAAACTCTTGTCTGGATCACTGGTGACCACCTTCTAGTCACATCTTGTGATTGTTTCTAGGTTTGTTTTCCTTTCCATCCCTCCCTTTGGAGGCAGCTTAATGAAGAAAGAACGTGTAAACTTCAGAGTCAGACCTGGGTTTGAATCTTAGCTCTGCCACTTTAGGAAAGATTCCTCAAACTTTCTGAGCTATAGTTTTTCTCAGTGCTGAACATGGGTCTAGAGTTTACCTTCTCGGGATTGTTGTAAGGATTAAAGGAGAGGTCTGTTATAAAACACCTACCAGAGAGGATGCTTAAGAACGTGTTTCAAGTGAAATCTCGGGGTAACTTTAGATGCCACCTGCAGCGGTAGCTATGGCCTGCATTTCTATCTCTTGCTATCTACTGACTTGGTCTTTTTAGCTAGTTGTCATATTTGAAAATCCAGTCTGGCAAACTTGCTAAGTTTGTTTTCTCTCTCATTCTAGAACTTTCTGGATAACTGCTAATGATTCTGCCACCCCACCTCAACCCCCTGCAGTCCTCTCCCTTAGAGGAGCTTTAGTTCTGTCCTGGCCCTGCCACAAACTCACTGTGCAGTCTAAGCAGGAGTAGATGTTTTGTGGTCCCCTCAACTTTTAACATCTGTGTTCTGTTCCCTGGTTCCTGAATCCTCTCTTCCTCTGGTAATTTTAACAATAGCTTTCCACTTCATAGAAGCGTTTCCACCATGTTTAGTTAAGAGAGTGCCGTAAAACCATCGATCGGCAGAGTTGGGGTCTTATAGTTTGTAAGAAGATTTTGTTCAAATATTATCTAATATCAACAGTCCACCCTGAACTAATATTGGCAGCATAATTATTAATTCTCCTGGGTGTCTGGGTAGCTCAGTCGGTGGAGCACCTGATTCTTGATTTTAGCCCGTGATCTTAGGGTCCTGGGATTGAGCCCCGAGTTGGGTTCCACACTCAGGGCAGAGTCTGCTTAAGACTTTCTCTCTCTCCCTCTGCCCCCCCGCCCCCACTCTTGTGTGTGTGCGCGCTCTCGGATAAATCTTAAAAAAAAAAACAAAACAAAAAACCTCTAACTGCTTTTTCCCTAGTTGGTGCCCCCAAAGGCTTTTATCTGTGTATCCTTCTCTCCCCTACCCTGAAAGGAAACCCCAAAACTGGTGAATCCACTAAGATGTCAGTGGACTGAGAGAGAATATGAAAGAACTTGGATAGAATCACTGGGATGAGAGACTGGATGTACAAATAGGGAAATAGAATTTTGTTTTCCCTCCTGATTATTGTCCTTCCAACACACACACACACACACACACACACACACACACACACACACCATAAGTTTACACACACACACAACTTTAATAAGACCAAAAGAAATTGATGGAGCAAACTTCAGTTTGTGTTTTGCTTCATTTGTGTTTCTTCTCCTTCCCTTCAAAGATGCCAATTCTCGGAAGCAAGAAGCAGAGTGGAAAGAAAAAGCAATAAAGGAGCTAGAAGAGTGGTATGCGAGGCAGGACGAGCAGCTACAGAAAACAAAAGCAAACAACAGGTCAGTCTCCGGTGCTGCTGGCAACTGCTTGTTCTCCAAGATTGAATCATGTTCATTTCTGGCAGCCAGTATAGTTCTCACAGGTGCTGCCTGTTGTACGAAATGTCTCTGCAGGTTTTGGAAAAAGTACTTGAAACATAAAGGTTGCAAGTCTCTTGGGTCTTGGGAGCATAATTCAGCCTGTCCTTTAGCCACCCCAGTTGTAGTGGCTTTAGCTCTTCAGCTAAGAGTTTGGTTAATCTGTATTGTTTGTAATAGTATGAAACAGCAAAAGGGAAAGTTATTTCATGGATCAAATCCACATGTGGAAATGTAACCCTGAAATGAAGGGCCACTTTCATGAATATACCAGGGTCTCAGTACTTCTGAGATGATTATAGACTTGGTCATGTTGCATCCCCTAAATACAACCCTGTCCTCTGAAAGCTGCTTTACAAAGGGGTCTGGTAGCAGGAACCGTGTGTGTGATTAGGTAGCCAAGGATGTTCCAACATGGTGACTTCAGAATTAAGGATTCTCTGGGTACTTCCGTGTCTAGGAAGAACTTGAGTGGACTTTTTTAAAATGCTCTTCAGAATGGACTCACTCACTGAAGGTGAAGTAGTTGTGGGGAGAAACCAAGTTCATTCTCCTACCCCCACTGACTGGCATCTGTGGTCTGGACTACTCCATGCTTAAAGTCCACTGGGAAGTAGCTCAGAGAAAGGTAGAGGCAGTGCTGCTGGCCCTGATGGAGACCAGTGGCTTCCTGCCCTGCTGGATTCAGAGCCCAGCTCTCACTCCGTGGTCACTCCACTACCTCACTGGAAAGAAAGGCCAGACTGAGCCGGGGGTGTTTGTAATTTTCAGGGCAAAGAGCCGTAGGTTCCTGCCCTCAGAGGCAGAAGTTGGTTTAAGTGCTCTTGCCTCTGTTAGCTTAGATGGAAATGTGTCAGAGAAGAGGGAGTGGACTGCTTTGCCAGCCAGAGTGTGTTGTTTATTAAGGAGGGCAACGATAGCAGAAGAGATGGACTGTTCTGTGCAGTAGGCTTCAGCTACCGGTCTCTGGCTGGCCAGCCTGGGTCCTGTCAGCTGCCCCTCAGATGGCAGGCTGCAGCCTGTGTCCACTGGGGGATGTATTCTCCAGTTCCAGGGGAAGCTCTGTAATATGGTGGGGACTGCTCTCCGCTCTTGGTGCGGAGTTGCTTGGAGGAGCATTTGGTACCAGGGCTTCTCCTGAGCTTGTGATAAGTTTCAAGTGCTGACAGGTCCAGGCTGCTTTATTCTCTGCTCCTTCAAGATGATTGACCCCAGGTACAAGTTCAGATCTCTAAAGGGAGATGAGTGGGTGCTTTGTGCAAGCCCTGTGTGAGGCCCCGTTGATCCTAGCAAGTTGCCCATGAGTCATTCTGCCCTGAAGTACTTGGTAAAACCAGGCTGACCCTCCCTGTTCAGGATCCCTGATGGGTAAACAGGCTGACATATAGATTCTCAGACGTAAAAAATGACTGTGTCAGGAATAGGCTTCTAATTGCAGTTTTGGTAAACTGTATCCCTTCTGTAAAGAAAGGAGCTGTCTATAGACAGCATCCGTTGTCCTTGGAGCGAATAAGCACACCTGTTTTGAGGAGCTCAGTCACCAAGGCTTAGTCCCTCCAGGCCTGGATTTAGGGCTTTGGTACCTTTCTTAGAATTGTAGAATGTTGAGTTGGATGGTCTCAGAGATGAACCTCCCAAGCTCCGCACAGGGGAAGAGACTCACACTTGCCACTCACGGAGAATGTAGGGCTTTTCCCAAACCAGGTCCCTTGCCTTGCAGAAACCTTGAGGCATAGGGCAGACTCTGTCAAACGAGTGGCACGCTGGCCTTGGTCACCAGGGTTCCAGGATCGAAGGGATGGTTTTGATGCTTTATCTGACTTACTCTTCGTGGGCTGGGGCAGGAGCCGTTTAGAGCAACCGTGGGGGACTTCTTCCAGTGGTACGCCCCCTCCCCTGGAGATTTTGACATTGCTGACCACTCCCCCTCCATGTTTGACTCTCTAAGCAGCATCGCATGGGACTAAAGGAGTAAGTCCTTTTATATATGTAAAAGAACTGTCTGTAGGTAAACAGTGAATCTCAGGAGAAAACGGAGTGCTCATTTCAAGTATCGGTCTTCCTCTCAATGACTTTTGCAGCAGCTGGATGTTTAGGTGGCCCACAGAGCTAAGGCAGAGCAAGCAGTTTGAGAGAAGATGTGGTGGGGTGCAAAGGCTGTTACTACGAGTGTATCATCAGGCCTCCTGCCTTCTAGATGCCCTGACCTAAAACCTCAGGAGCACATCTGTGCCAGGCATGGTGCTGGGCAGTGGGTGAATGAGAGCAGATCTTGCCTTCATGGCATCTGTAGTCTGGTGTTCCTCTGCAGCTGGCATCTCCTTCCTTTTATCCCAACTTGGGGCCCAAATATTGCTGCACAAGAGCCATGAATGATTAGTGACAGCCTGTTGGGGGGCAGGGGGGACACTCCATGGGAGCCAGTGGAAACATTACTCCTTTTACAGGGGGCTCTGGTGCTAACTTTTTATCTTTCAAGATTTATAAAAGTTTGGGGAACCCCTGATTCTCCATGATGGCAAATATTTTTTCCATGCCCACTGGGCACTATAAATGTGGATCACTGCTTGAGCACCCTGTGGTCAGGCCTACGTTCCACACCCCCCCACCCCACCCCCACCCCCGTTTCCCTCAGGCTTCCCTGAGGATTGCTGCTTTCAGGCCCCTCTGATGAGTGAAGAACAAACAGCTAGAGGGGCCGCCTATGGTGATCATGGTTTTCCATTTGCTCCATTTGTCTATACCTGGATGGGGCTATGCTGTCACTGATGAGTTCCATAGTCTTGGGGCTAGCTGCAAAGGAGTGAAAGCCTGCCATTCAGGCTTTTGTTGTCTTAGTGATGCCTTGGACCGTAGTCATTCAACCTTTATTTTCTTTGAAATCGATTATGGTTAGCCCTTTGTGTAAACTAAAAGGATTATGGGTTTACAAGCGGGCCTGCCTTTCCTTTCCCACCCACTCATTCTCTCCACAAACAACTCTGTTTTCCTGCTGACTTAGAGTTACAATCAGGCTGTTCTTTTTGCTTTCTTTAAATTTCCACAAACCCCCACCTATGTATAAACCAAAATGGGAAAGAAGGAAGGCTATGTGTAAGTTTAAATAAAAATAAACAAAATTACTAGAATTTCTCTTCAAATAAGGGAGCCTAGGCTTATAATAAGCCTGCTTATAGCATCCTTAAAAATGTCCCTTCTACTTCTGTGCCCCAAACCAACCTGGCAAATGACAGGGTAAAACTCCTGGACGGAGGTACCCTGCCCACCCACAGTGGTTGTGGTGGGCTGGCCGGGCCAATAAGGTCTAAGCCAGCCTGTCCCCTGGGGTGGAAACTCTTCCACCCAGCATGCCCCCCCTTTCCTTTTTGTCCCAGAATGGCCTGCCATTTTGACCCATGTATGGTATGAGTTAAGAGTTAAGTGAAGGTCTGATTCCTGGGCTGCACCTTGTGACAGCAGTCCCGTCTGGCATGGACTGAGCAGACCAGCATCTTCAGGGACAGACAGGAAGCCAGAGCGAGGACCTTTGGCTGCAGTTCTTTGCACCAGACCACTTGCATCCAGCAACTTTTTCCTCTAAGGTGGGGATTTTGAAATGACCACATCTGTTCCCAGATGACTGAAAAGTGATCCCATTCAGTCAGGGCGCGGGGAAGCAGGAGTCGGATAATCCAAGACAGAAGTGGCTTTGGCACGTAGCGTGATGGCTCATGAGCTTGCCAGAGGCTGCAGGAAGGTGGCCCGGCTTCCTGAGCACCTGCCAGCTGGGGGGCAGCATTACTGTCTGGTAAGAAGAGCCAGGCAGGCTTGCTTGGGAGTTCTGCTGCCACCTGGGGTTGAGCAAGGGGCTTCCTGTCCAGGCCTCCTGTTACCCGTAAAGTGTCGATGAGAACACGGTGCCCTAGGTTGTCGGGGTTGAGGATTGGATCAAGTGGACGCAGTACCTCTAAAAGGGCTTCCCTGGAAGTGGGTGCCGAGACCTGCTCGCGGTGGCAGGGATGAGGCTGGGAAGGGCTTGGCAGGGCTCACCCGGGAGAATCCCCAGGGGGAAGGTCCATGGGGAACCTTGCCTGCTGGAGTCTCCAGCACTTGAAGCCTCCCTGGGTAAGCACCCAGCCTTGGGAGCAGCACCCCGGAGCACAGTCGTGCCTCTGTTATGGATTTGAGATGTTTCTGCTTCTCAATGTTCTCTCTTTTTTCCTGCCTGCTTGCCTGCCTTTTGGACCTCTTGCTGTCTAGGGTGGCAGATGAAGCTTTCTACAAACAACCCTTCGCTGACGTGATTGGTTATGTGTATGTTGCAAAACTAATTCTTTTTCCTGTTTTGATTCTTTTTGTTTAGAGTTAATGCTCCTGTTATGTCACAAGTTCTGCTTTCTAAATATTTCAAACTGGCACTCTGGGGACTGCCTAAGAGAAGGTTGGGGATATGATCCATCGATTGTCTTGTAGAAGCGTGACTCCCTTTAACTCTGAGAGCCTTTTTTCCACATTCGGGGTTTTGGAGGGAAGGAACTGGATTCCCTTTTAAAGTGTGGGTCATTTGTGACCTGGTTGGGGAAGGCTTTGGGACTGGGGTGGCTGCCACCACTGCTGCCCCCCTGCTGGGAGGCCAGGCGGGGCAGCACCTTCAACATTTGGTTCTTTTGAAGAACATGTGGGGTTGGTTGCTTCTCCCTTGGGAGCAGAGGAGGTTGTCTCATTGGGGGTGGGGGGGGCGGATCCTGTAACTGTTTCTCTCTCGATGTGGGAAATTGTTTCGTGGCCGGCTTCTGATGCCTATCCCCCCACTTCGGCACAACGAAGCCCCAGCTTTTTAAGGTCGGGATAGCCAAAGCTGTCTGATAGGCCACGATGGCTTTTTCCCCCAAAGAAAACTGCATCTTCTCTGGAAAAACATTTGACTCTTGTATTCAAAGCAGTATTGCCGAAGAAGACTTGGAAACAATGCTTGCTGTTTCCTCAAAAATTCGGACTCCATTTTGATGTAAGGGAGATGAGGGTAGAAGGAAGAACCACAGGTGGGAAGGGTGGACGATAGGTTCCTGTCTGTAGAGCGTCTTAGGGCCTGTGACCTCGACATGTTCATCCCTTTAGAATACAGAGCGGGGTTTCCTGGGTCCCCAGATGCATTTGCAATGAGATTTGTGAAATGCTGGACTTACAGGTGGTGTTGGATTGATTTTTGCACATTCTCTCTGGCGTAGAACTGGAGACTGGAAAGGTCGAGTCTGGGTTTGCTGGGCAGCAGGGTGGCCCAGCAAAGCCAGCTGCACGTTCCCAAGTGTAGATGGAGTGGCAAGGGCATGTCTAGCTTACTGACCATCTGCATTGAGCTCATTCTCATTTTCTATATCTGACCTAAAGTTTCTCTCGTTTCTTTTCACCTTTAAGCACAAACATAAACCATCCTTGCTACAGCCTAGAACAGTTAAGTAAACCTTTCTCACTGCCCCTAACTGTGTGTGCCATGAAGTCGCAGTGTTGTAGTGGCTCGGGCTGCAGCAGTGTTTGCCACGGCCATCCTTGTGAGCGTGCCACCCCTCCGTCCCCACAGACCGGTCATCTCCATCGCTTTCGCTTTGCCCGTGATGCTTGTTGGAGTAGATGAATAGAGTGTGTCTTCCCTTTTTCCGCTGTCCTTTCAGGCTGTAGCTCCCACCAGTTCCCAACTGGGGGTGGGCTGACCTCGATGGGAAAGAATGTTGGAGCAGCCTCCTACCCAAAAGCAGCTAACAGTGATTGGCTCTTTAGCCATTGGGCACCCACCCCTTCCAGAGCGTGCCCTGAGTGGCCCAAGGCACCTGACTGGAGGGAAAATGGCCAACTTGCAGCTCAACTGGAGAATGTCCTAACAAACCCCCTTCCAGAATGGCTTTAGTCTCTAGTGCCTGCTGCTCGCATGGGAGCTGTGTCTTGAATTCCTTTTGATCTGCCCTGTTTCTCTCTGGTCTTAGGAATAAATCCAGAGGCTATCGTGCAATGACCGGTGGGCTTTTGAGAAGTCTCTCAATTCACTTGAAACTCAGTAGAGCCCGCCATCAACTCCTGTGCACATTCTTGACCGGCCTGCTGCTTTGCTCCTGTTGCTGAAGGCAGTGCATAGCTGGCTAAGGACTTGCTTTTTAACGCTCTGTATCGACAGAGAGCCCTGAACCAAACACCTGTATTCCAACATTTTACACAGCGGTCCGGGCACCCTGTGCCTAGGAGAACTGGCCACGGGTCTGCTCCCGAGTCTGACCTGAGCCAGGGGCTGTTCCTCTTTGGAAAACCGGAACGCGAGGAAGTCAGGCATGAAGAGGCAGTCACTTCTGTCACAAGGCAGCCGCCAGGTAGCTCACGGGGGAGGGGTTCTGCATTAAACCAACATATTGTGTTGTTGCTTCCAGGGCAGCAGAAGAAGCCTTTGTAAACGACATAGACGAGTCGTCCCCAGGCACTGAGTGGGAACGGGTGGCCCGGCTGTGTGACTTTAACCCCAAGTCCAGCAAGCAGGCCAAAGACGTCTCCCGCATGCGCTCTGTCCTCATCTCCCTCAAGCAGGCCCCCTTGGTGCACTGAAGAGCCACCCTGTGGAAACACTACATCTGCAAGATCTTAATCCTACTCAGTGAAGCTCTTCACAGTAATTGGATTAATTATGTTGAGTTCTTTTGGACCAAACCTTTTTGTCTTTAGAGTTGATCATTGTTTGTGATTGCATGTTTCCTTCAGCTCTGTTCTCGCTGGCAGCCAGAGAGGAGGGGGAGGAGTGGGGGGGGGGAAGCCCCCCAAAGGTAGCCTCAACCTCTACTTTTGTGCATTATTCTGAGAATAAATTTGTTTCAAACAAACATGAAGCTTCATTACTGATTTCAAGACCTACTGCAGCTTGGAGAGAGATTTTAAGGGATGAAGAATTTCCTGTTACCACTTCTAGGACCGCAGAGGCACAGCCACTGAATGTCCACCCCTGCCTCGAACTCAGAGAGCGCCAAGTTAGTTACGACAATTGATTGATAGTAGGGTTCTGTGGAAGTTTCCATTTGAAAAAGGAAGTTCTGTGGCTAAAAATTAACCTCTCGTTGCCCAGCTGAGATGATGATAGAGCTGGGAAATCCCCTCACCAACCCAGACATTTTCTCCCAGCTGGCTCTTGCCACTGTCCCCTACTTTAAGGTCTTGGATAGTATTTTTCAACAGGGGTCTCTCTGGCTACATATTATTCCTTCAGATTCAGTCAGTAAACCTGAATCAGGGTGGCGTTACTGTGTGGCTAGTCCCATTACTCTGGATTCCCACAGTACACGGTTGCTGCCCTACCAACTCTGCTCCTATTTCACTTGTCAAATCCTTCAACTAGGCCTTACTGGCCAATACACTAAGCACCTGTGGTTATTTAAATAAAAGTACATTTCTAGCCCTAGATCTCAAACGCTCAATGGCCACATGTGGTTAGGTAGCATCCCAACTTCACAGCACAGAACATTTCCATCATCACAGAAAGTTCTGGACCATACTGATCTACACAATAGGTACCACTAAGACACTGTGCTCCATCCAGGCAATGGTTTGAGCAAGTAATAAAGCCAAGTCAAATCTGCTTATAGTTACCTGATATTTCCAAGTTGGAGACTCATGTAAACTGTAATACCGCTCAGAAGGGTAGGTATTGGTAAGAAGTAGAATCTGCCATCTCTCCTATGGTAGTTAGGTCTGGAGGGAAGAGGAAACTTCATTACTTCTCTGCCCATGTGTTCCCTGCCCGCACCTCCCCCCCCCCCCAAAGCTGCTTAGTTGGGCATTCTTTGATCTGGCTCACGTTTCTGGCCTCTTTGCTCACTCCTTCCCTTTAGCCACTTCTGGTTGCAACCAAGTAATCATTCACTGTTCACCAACCAATTATTCCTTCAAAAATGTCAGTCCAGTTTAAGAATCAGCTCAAAGGTCACCTCCACCAGTGCCTTCCCTTACCCGCCTCCGTGAGGTCCCATGGCTTCTACCTGGGGCAGCTTACCTTTTGGTATTCTCTTGGTGGTGTTATCTGGACTAGTCTTGGCCTCCCACGCCAGATGGGCTTCTTGAGGGTAGATGTGGCAGTTGTAAAAGATCAGTAAAGTCTGACATTCCCTAGATCAAGAAGTGTGACTGGTTAATATGACAAAAGTACGGCTATGAGACTTCCAAAGCTCCATCATAAAAGGCAACACAGCTTACAGCTGGTTTGTTGGAACATGCAAGCTATGTAGGCTGGTAGTCCTTGTGTCACCACGTAAAACTAACAAACACCCTGAAGCCACATTCTGTGATGAAGCCCAAACCAGCCCACACAGACCCTGAAATGACAGGCAGAAATGCCTGGCCAGTCCCCAGTGTTCTAACCTCCTGCTACTCTGGCTCTAGCCACTGTAACTGCAAATGCATCGGATACCCTGAGTCAGAATTGCCAAGGAGAACCTTTCCTACATTCCTAATCCATAGAAACAATGAGAGAAATGATTACTGTTTGAACCTCTTTAAGTTTTGAGGTCCGTTCCACAGCAGTAACTTCGAACTGTTTCTGATGCCTCCATTACCCACAGGGGGCTCCATAAAAAGAAGGGAGTTGGTCCAGGAACTCAGTGTTCAACATTTAAACTTCTTTATTGGGGCCACTTTGCTTTTTATGTCAGATTTTAAAAGTTATTTAACACAGTATTAGAAGTTCTAGCCAGAGCAATTAGGCAAGAAAAAGAAAAGGCTGTAAGTCTTGAAGTAAAGCTGTCAGTATTTGCAGATAACATGGCATTATATATAGAAAACCCTAAAGACCAAAACATGTTGGAACTAATTCAGTAAAGTTACAGGACACAAAATCAGTATACAGCAATCTTTTGCATTTCTGTACACGCACAACAAGCTAAAGAAACTAGAGAAATTAAGAAAACAATCCCATTTACAATGGCATCAGAAAGAACAAAATACCCAGAAAGAAATTTAAAGACGTGAAGGACCTGTACACTGAAAACTCTCAGAGATTAACGAAGGAAACCAAAGACAAATAAATGGAAAGATACTCCATGTTTACAGATTGGAAGAATATTAAAATATTCACACTACCCAAAGCAAGTTAAGAGAATCAGTGCAATCTCAAAATTCCAATGGCATATTTTAAAACAATCCTAAGGGGTGCCTGGGTGTAGCAGTCGGTTGAGCAACCAACTCTTGGTTTCATCTCAGGGTTGTGAGATTGATGCCTGCCTCAGGCTCCGTGCTCAGCATGGAGTCTGCTTAAGACTCCCTCTCTCTCTCTGCCCCTCTTCCCCTGACCAAATAAATAAATCTTACAAAAAATAAAACAATCCTAAAATGTTTATGGAACCCTAAAAGACCCCCAATAGCCAACATAACCTTGAGAAAGAACAAAGCTGGAGGCATCCTGCTCCCTAATTTCAAACTATATTACAAATCTGTACTAATCAAAACAGTATGCTCTAGATCAATAGAACAGAATAGAGAGCCTAGAAATAAACCCATGGATGTATGGTCAGTTAATTTATGACAAAGGAGGCAAGAATATATAATTGAGAAAGACAGTCTCTTTAGTAAATTCTGTTGGGAAAATTAGATCGCTATCTTACACCCACACAAATTAACTCAAAATGGATTAAAGACTTGAATGTAAGACCTGAAACCAATAGGCAGTAAGCTCCTTGACATCGATCTTGGTGATTTTTTGAATCGTACCCCAAAAGCAAAAATGAATAAGCAGGACTTGTATCAAACTAAAAAGCTTCTGCCCAGCAAAGGAAACCAACAAAAAGTGAAAAGGCAACCTGATGAATAGGAGAAAGTATTTGCAAACCGTATCTGCTAAGGGGTTAACATCCAAAATATATTTAAAAACTCCTATAGGGGCGCCTGGGTGGCTCAGTCGGTTAAGTGTCTGCCTTCAGCTCGGGTCATGATCCCAGGGTCCTGGGATCAAGAGCCCCGTGTCAGGTTCCCTGCTCAGCCAGGGAGCCTGCTTCTCACTCTCCCTCTGGCTTGCCTCTCCCTCTGCCTGCTGCTCCCCCTGCCTGTGCTCTCCCTGTCAAATAAATAAAAATCTTTTTAAAATAAAAACTCCTATAACTCAGGGCACCTGGGTGGCTGAGTCAGTTAAGCATCTGCATTTGGCTCAGGTCATGATCCCAGGGTTCAGCATGGAGTCTGCTTCACCCCCCTCTGCCACTGCCCCTGCTTGTGCTCTCGCTCTGTCTCAAATAAATAAAATCTTTAAAAAAAATAAAAAACTCCTGTAACTCAATAGCAGAAACTAAAAACCCAAATAAAAATTAGGGGATCTGAATAGACATTTTTCTAAAGATACACAGATGGCCAACAGATAGAGGAATAGATGCTCAATATCCCCAAGCAGGGAAATGCAGATCAAAACCACAAATGAGCTATCACCTTATACCTGTTATAATGGCTATTATCAAGAAGACAAGTGTTGGTGAGAATGTGGAGAAAAGGGAACCCATGTGCTGTGTTGGTGGGAAAGCAAATTGGTGCAGCCACTGTGGAAAACGGTGTGGAGGTTCCTCAAAGATTTAAAAATAAAACTACAAGAATATGTGTATATAGATGTGTATATACAAATATGTGTATCTATATACATATTTTTATACATTTTCTGTATATAGATATTTTTTCATATGTATACACACACACACACACACACACTGAAGTATTATTCAGCCATACAAAAAGAACGGAATATTGCCATTTGTGACATGGATAGACCTTGAGGGCAAAGTCAGAAAAAGACAAGTACTGTGTGATCTCACTTGTATGTGGAATGTAAAAACCAGAAACCAACAACCATGCTCATAGATAGAACCAGTAAGAGACTGGTGGTTGTCCAAGGTGAAGGGTGGGGAGGAAGTGGGTGAAATGGGTAAAGGGAGTCAGAAGGTACAAATGTCCAGTTATAAAACAAGTCACAGGGAAGTGATGTACAGCATGGCAAGGCCTACCTTGTAGATGGTGCACGCTCAGCTCCCCGGCACTGTGACAGAAAGAACATCGCAATACCGTGAGTCAAATGAGTTTTCTGGTTTCCCTGTGCATATAAATGCTTATACTGTAGTCTGTTAAGTGTGCCAACAGCATTATGTCTAAAAAATTTACATACCTTAATTAAAAAATACTAGCCATCATCTGAGCTTTCAGCGAGTTGTAATCTTTTTGCCGGTGGAGGGCCTTGCTGTCGAAGTTGATGGCTCCTGACTGATTAGGGTGGTGGGTGCTAAACGCTGGGGTGGCTGGGGCAAGTTCTTAAAATAAGACAATGAAGTTTGCTACATCAGTTGACTCCTCCTTTCATCACGAACAATTTCTCTAACATTTGATGCTGTTTGATAGCATTTTACCCACAGAATTTCTTTTGAAATGAGTCAATTCTCTCAAACCCTGCTGCTGCTTTATCAACTAAGTTTATGTAATTTCTAAATTCTTTGTTGTCATTTCAGCAGTCTCCACGGCATCTTCACCAGGAGTAGATTCCATCTCAAGAAACCACTTTCTTTGCTCATCCATAAGGAGCAACTCCTCATCTGTTAGTTTTATCCTGAGATTATAACAATTCAGATATATCTCCAGGCTCCAGTTCTAATTCTAGTTCTTTTGCTATTTCTACCGCATCTGCACTTACTTCCTTAAGTCCTGAACCCCTCAAAGTCATCTGTGAGGGTTAAATCAACTTCTTTCAAACTGCTGTTCCTGTTGCTATTTTGACCTCTTCCACGAATCTTTTTTTTCTTTTAAGTAGGCTCCATGCCCAGCATGGAGTGCAACGTGGGGCTTGAACTCACGACCCTGAGGTTAAAACCTGAGTTGAATCGTGACCCTGAGGTTAAAACCTGAGCTGAAGAGTTGGACACTCAACCAACCGTGAAACACCTGGGTGCCCCACGAATGTTCTTAATGGCATCAGGAATGGTGACTTCCAGAAGGTTTTCAATTAACTTTGCCCAGATCCGTCAAAGGAATCACCATCCATGTTGTAAACAGATGTGCTGTCATCCAGGCTTTGTTCCATTTACAGAGCCCAGGCAGAGTAGATTTAGAATTCTTAAGGGCCTAGGATTTTCCGAATAGTATATGAACACTGTTTCAACTTAGTCACCAGCTGCATTAGCCCCAAGCAAGAGAGTCAACCTGTCCTTTGAAGTTTGAAGCCAGGCATTTTCTCCTCTCTAGCTCTGAAGGTCCTAGAAGGCATCTTCTCCCAATAGAGGCTGTTTCGTCTTCATCGAAAATCCTTTGTTTAGCGGAGCCACCTTCATGAATGATCTTAGCTGGATCTTCTGGAGAACTTGGTGCAGCTTCTACATCAGCACCTGCTGCTTCACCTTGCAGTTTTATGTTATGGAGATGGCTTCGTTCCTTAAACGTCATGAAGCAAGCCCTGCTAGCTTCCAACTTTCTTCTGTAGCTTCCTCACCTCTCTCAGCCCTCATAGAATCGAAGAGAGTTAGGACCTTGCTCTGGATGAGGCTTTGGCTTAAGGGAATGTTGTAGCTGGTTTGATCTTCTATCCGGGACCACTGAAACTATCCATATCAGCAGTAAGGCTGTTGTGCTTTCTTAATCTTTTGTGTGTTCACTTGAGTAGCACTTTTAATTTCCTTCAGGAACTTCTTTGCGTTCACAGCTTGGCTATTTGGCATGAGAAACCTAGCTTTGGCCTGTCTTGGCTTTTGACAGGCATTTCTCACTCATCTCTAGCTTTTGATTTAAAGTGAGAGACATGTAACTCTTCCTTTCACTTGAATACAGAGAGGCCATTGTTAGGGTTATTAATTGGCCTAATTTCAATATTGTGTCTCAGGGAATAGGGAGGTATGGAGAGAGGGAGAGAGATGGAGGCATGGATGGTCAATGGACTGGTCAGAACACAGACTATTTCCCGATTAAGCTCACCATCATATGGGTGCAGTTCGTGGTGCCCCAAAACACAACAGTAACATCAAAGATCACTGAACACAGATCACTGCAACAAACATACTGAAGTTTGAAATACTACAAGAATTACAATACGACACAGAGACGCAAAGTGAGCAAATGCTGTTGGAAAAATGGTGCCAAGAGACTTGTGTGACACAGGGTTGCCATAAACCTTCAATTTGTAAAAACACATTATCTGTGAAGCACAATAAAATGAGGTATGTCTATACTATATATATATATGCCTTAGCTGTATATTTGAAAGCTGCTATAAGAGTAGATCTTACACATTCTCATTACAAGAAAGAAAAGTTCTATATGTAAGGTGATGGTTCTTTTACTGTGGTGATCATTTTTCAATATATATAAATGTTATATAGCATGCTTCCTATTATCAAAAAAATTTTTGTCGTTTTTAAGAAATTCACATTAGATGCCTTAAGAAGTTACATCACCTTCGAAAAGTAAGCAGTGCAACAATAGAAATCTCTTCCTAAAAGGGATTTTAACTAATTAAGAAAACAAAATGCAAAAATGTTAGGATGTCCACAAAGATTTATTTTTTCTTTAGAATTTGGCTCAGAACAGTAACATAAAAATATTTACATTAAAATAAATTAATATGTGATTTAACTATATGTAATAATTACATTGGAATATATTAGCCTTTCCATGAATTTAATAAAAACTAAGATTTGGTTTTAGATTTAGTACCGTCCTTCCAAATATTTGGTATGAAACTTGGTAGCAATGCAACTCTCTGGTGTACACAGCAGTGACAGATGTCGCCAAGGAACTGATGCCCTTCATAGTCTGCCGCCTCCCCCCGGACGCTGATGGCCAAGCAGACCAGCTTCCTTCCTAGGAATCACTGTGGAATTTTTCAACAATAACCAGGACCTGGAGGTTATTTCAGGGCTGGTGGAATTCTAGGAATCAGCCAACCCATCTTTTCACATGAACCCCCCAGGAAGGAAGTGGTTCAAATGCAATATTGATTCTTTCACTTTATTTTGTATGTTAACACTGAAACAACGCAAACCTTCAGGTTTTCCTAAAATAAAAATCTGAAAAACATGCATATGCTTGTTTAGATCATCTAAAAGTACCCATAAAAACCTGTCACTAGACCAAATACTGTATTGGCAAAATGTCCACAGCACAGAGGAATATTTGATTAAATTTATCATTGAGGGACAGCATCAAAGACAAAGTGAGTCAGTCTTATTAAAGTTGTTGGTAGCATGAAGTAAATTAGGATATATTCACATTTTGGAAGTTTTTTATCTGAGAGGTTGTATGGCGTAGCAGAAAAGCACAGAGGGACCTGGGATCAAACCCTGTTTCTGAGACTCACTAGCCACATGGCTTTAGGTCCATCACTTCAGCACACCAAGACTTAGTTTGGGGTCGTATAAAATGGAAATGAGGACACCTACCTCCCAGGTTGTGCGAATTTACAATAATTTATATGAAGCACCTAGTTCGGAGCCTGGCATACAGTAGGCACTTAATAAATGGTGCGTATTAGCATTTCTTCTAGGTTAAAATTGATAGCAAGAACCTTGGCCTTTGTATCTTGACACCAATGAAAGCACAGAATCTTATTGAGCCCGAATCCAGAGTCACAGATCCGGGCTCCACAAACACTGCCTTAACAGATACTCCAGAGTCCTACTCAACATCAGCATGAAAAGTTACTGAAGGGAGAGGTGTCTGTCAGCAGCAAGGATCCTTCGGAGATGGTTAATCTCCTTTCAGAGGCTGTAAGTCCTAGTGGCTTCTCAGCTGTCCTTAAGAAGATAAGGACAAGGTCAGCAGGGCCACTGTCATTCAAATCCCTAAAGTTGCTCAAGATTCTGCAAGAGTAATAAATAACATCGTTAAGCAAACAACATTTGGGGGTGACAGAGGTGTCCAATGTCTTGATTGTGGTGATGGTTTCACAGGTGTATACATGTCAAAGCTTATCAAACTGTACATTTTTAAAAATACCTCAGTAAAGCTGTTTTTAAAAAAAATTTACTTAAGCCTTTCACAGTGAGATTTCCTTCTGTTTCCTGACCAGATCCCTTTCTGCAAAATCTGAGTTTAGGGTCAGAGGAGGAAGGATGAGTGATCCACACTCCAGCCTCGAGGCCCCGCCTCAGGCAAGGCCTGCAGGTCTACGCGGTCCATCTGGTAAGCAGAGCCCTGAGGCGTCCTTGTCTACGATCAGAGCTCCTTTGGCACAGAAGATTGTGGCTGGTACTTACAGGGTTTGAGCGGAAATGACCCCAGAAAGAGCAGCATCTACAAAAGTGAGGGCTGGGAAAGGTGACTTCAGAAGAGGAGGCTAAAAGCAAAAAATTAACTGCCGAAGTCACCTGCCAAATACCAAATTTAAATACCAAAACTGCTTTTTAAGAAACGCTCGTCTAAAAGACAACCTGATTCCACAAAGAAGCTCTGAGTCTCGGTCCAGGTCCACTCCCCAGAGCCTTAGCAGATCCTGCGAGTTGTGTAGTCCAGAACCATGCTCGCGGCACCGAGCAGGGCAGGATCCACCAAATCCGAAACCACCACGTCCACATCCTGAACCGAGGACAAGGCTTGCTGGCGGATGACGTCTTTGACAATGTGGATGTAGTGACTGGCTAGGACTCCAGAGAGGATCACAAGGGAGGGATTTATGGTGTGGAGGATGTTCACAACCCCAAGACCCAAAGCCGTTCCAGCTACAAGAAAACAAAAATGAAAGTAAACCAAATCAAAAACGTCAGAGGGGGCACCTGAGTGGCTCAGTCGGTGAAGCGTCTGCCTTTGGCTCTGGTCATGATCTCAGGGTCCAATGGGATTGAGCCAGTGCTGGGCTCTTTGCTCAGTGGAGAGTCTGCTTCTCTCTGCCCCACCCCCTACTTGTACTCTCTCTCTCTCTCTCAAGTAAAGTCTTTAAAAAAACAAAACAACAACAAAATGCCAGAGGACGGTGGAAGGAGTCAGCAGCCTAGAATACTTAGTACACCCACACTAGAGAACAAAGCAGTGCCTGCAAAGCTATTCATGATTCATTCCTGATACGAGGGGGTGATGTGCTTTGAAACAAAAAAACTAGGTATACTACATACTATACCATATGATCTCAGCTATGTAAAAAAAAAAAAAAAAAAAGGACAGACTGGAAGGAGATGTTAATAGTTCATCTCTGAATGGTAAAACTTGAAGTGAAACTTTTTCTTACTCTCCTATATTTCTTCTCTAGATTTCCTGTAAGATGAACAAGTACTTTATCCATAGTTGTAAAACAAAACAAAAAGCCTGTTTAATAAAGGCAATGCTGCCAAATACCCTGAATGCCATTCCCTTTCTGTCTCGGAAAGCAGGAGAAACACCTCTGACCACACATTCCAGGGCGCTGATCCCGAGGGAAGCTAGTTATGTGCAGGAGCCCTGGGCAGTCTGAGGGCCCCCCTACGGCAGAGCTGCCCGGAGCCACAGGCTCACCTGTTCTCAAGATGCTCTGGGCCTTCGCGTTGCCAAGTTTCGCAGCTTGGATGAGATGGACTGCGCTCACGGCCTCGTCTTTCAGTACTGACATCCCTTCCACCAAGAGAAGGTCCTCTGTGTGAGCAGAGGGGAGAAGCAGCAGGCATTAGCAGGCATTAGTGAACTGTGGCAGCCCTGCAGGAGGGCCAGGCTGAGAAGTCGGCCTGTGGGCAGCAAGCCCCCAAGTGGGAAGACAGCGTGTTCTTTTCACATTGGCAGAGCTTTTTCTCATTCACAAATGTCCACATACATTGCTCCAGAGGCCACTGCTGCCCTCTTGCTGCCTTGCTTACACATCATCCAGAACTTTCCTAACCAGAAAATCCTCACCTCTGACCAGAGCCTCCCAGCCAGCCCTCTAGCTTCCGACTTCTCACTTCCACATGCAACAGAGACTCGTCTGTTTCTCTCCTTCCCTTATCCATCCCAGGTGCACATCACTTGCAGGGCCCCCCATCTTACAGCAGCGCCTGTAGCACTGACACGGACCGGGGTTCGGTCACCAGCTCAGCCACGAGCAGCAGCACAACCACATCCAGGGCACATCCCTTCTATACCCTTTTCTTCTCTAGAAAATGGGGGTACCACCACGTACCCTAGCAGGATTATTTGAGGAACTACATGAGATCATGGACGTAAAGAACTTCATCAAGTGCTGGCCAAGTCAATGCTCACTAAATAGTAAGTAGTTCTATTACCTGTAGTCCTTGGCTTTTCTGCCCCTCACTCTGCCCGTCATCAACCCGGGTCCACACCCTCCTCATCTGCTATCATACGTGGGCCCTGATGAGAGCAAACCCCAACCACCTAGCCCCGGCCCAGGAATCTCCTCACAGCTGCCCACCAGTCTCTCCCATTCCCCGCCAGGACTCTTCTCAGCTTCCACCACCTCAAACCTTCTACCCCGCCCCCACTACCATGAGACCTCCAGACTGCCGACCTCTCTGATAAAGGACCCCACGAGGCAGGGGTTCCCTTACTTTCCTGTCCCCGCCTCAAAACACGTCTGTATTTGCACACCTTCACTCCTCCTCTTCCTCTCAGGCCCTCTACCCAGCCTTGCAGCTCCTCAGGGGCCCTACAGTGGGGACTCAGCTGCCCCTTCTCTCCTGCATTCTCAACCTTCGCTTCCATCCGCACTGTCTTTCCACTGGCAGATGCTCACAGTCTCCCTGGCCTCAAAGCACTTCCTCCCTCCTACTCAGAGTAGTCAGGCTTCTGTTCCTGCTATTTGAATGCGCTCTTTCTTAAGACACGCATTTGCCCCCAGGGAGACAAAAACTGTTCTTGAGGCAAAAAAAAAAAAAAAGCTTACTCTTTTTATACAAATAGTACATAAACACAAACAGATAAATAGTAGATCTGTGATTGTGAAGTATCATGTGTGGAAGCGATGATTAGGAAAAAAATGTCCAAACAGGCCCCTAAGGGAGGCTAATGATAAAAAAGAAGTTGAAAAACCAAGTTTTCAGGGTTTCAAATGATGTCCTCATGGCCAAAGCCAATGAGCTCTTCTGATTTTCTCTTACTCATAAGCAGCACTTGACATTCCCAATGTGACTCCTTGAGACACTCTCCCTCTGGCTTCTGTGACTTTACCCTTTCCTGGTTTTCCTTTCTGCCCGTTAAATGCTGTTTTGCAGGATTCCACCCCTGACTCTTGCCTCACTCCAAACCTCATTCAGAGGTTTAACTGGCAACTCAGCACTGATGATTCCCAAATCCCCACCCTCTAGCCCAGTACTCTCTCCTGAGCGCCAGACCCCCGTAGCCAGCTGCCGCCTGCACATCTCCAGCCCACGTCCCGCAGGCGGGACCCCCCCCCACCCCCACATCCCTTTCCGCCGCAGCCGGCTCCAAGAAAACCGAAGTCACTCTAGAACTGTACTGTTCAAAGTTACTCCATTCGACTACTATTTGTCTCCTAGAAAACAAAAAGTTACTGTTTAGTGAAGAGTCTAAAATTCAGACCTGACCATGTTTTTCCCCCAGAAGTTCTCAATGGCTTCTCCATTAGGTGCTGGTCTTGGCCTACCTCTTGCTATGCTCAACCCTACCCTGCCCTTTATGCACCCACAGGACTGTTTCCCAGGCTTGAAAGCATCCCGGGCTCATCCCAACTTGCCCTGCTAATTCTATTTACCCTCTCTCAACCCCCAGACAGCACCCTAACACTCCCTTCCCCGCATGAAGAGGGCAGGGAGGGAACTCTGGTGTCATATGCATCTACATCCCCTGGCCATCAGTCTCAAGGCACTTGACACTGTATTATAATGACAGTAAATGACTCCCTCTTGCATTAGACTAGAAACCATCCTTTTATAACATGTCCAGAAATAGCTTTAATTCAAATAGACTCAGAGTTCACAACTGTAATATGGTAATCCATTTACTTCTTCAGCTAGGGGCTGAGGAAACCACCACCAAATCCTCCCCGCTATCCTGGGGCTCAAGACCCTTGTCCACCCCACCACTGGGAAGTGTTAATACGGGTCAGGACTAAGGGGATTTCGGAGCTTTGGTATAAGGAAGCCCTGCCTTTCCACCAGGAAGTGAGAAGGGTAAAAGTTCTGGCTTCAGTGTCCAGCTCTTTTTGGAATATCTACTTTGAAATACTTGTCTACCATATAGCTATTTAATTCCTCAGGCGAAAGAAACCAACCATCATGTAGCTTTTTTGCTTCCCTCTGCAAGGCCATTCCAGAGGCGTATGCTTCAATACATCCATGACTTCCACAGGAACAATCAGGCCCATCCAGAGACACAACAAGATGGCCAAATTCTGCAGCACAGAAGGAGCTTCCGTGGATCAGCTCGTGTTGATGGATGATGCCCCCGCCAATTCCTACAGTGAGAGAACAATCACTGAGGTGGTTCTTCAACTGAAACAGGAAGCTGTGATATAGCAACTCCTCATCTGTTTAGCAAAGCTTTGGAATGTGAGGTTCTTTATGACGCCTTCTTTCCCAAGTAGCTGTAACTTACTAAGTACCGACACTTTACCTGGAAGCATTTTGGAGGGAAGTATTTCAAGCAGATCCCTAACCTTAACCCTAATGTTGCAACCCTGTATTGCATCTACTTGGCTCACTGTGATTTCAACCACGGCTGTGGGGAACAGATCCGCACAGGCTCGGACTCACTGTCTAATGACAGTGTACCACCTCAAGCTCACATGGCCTGTCTCCTCACCGAGGCCATCTCCAACACTAAAGTAAGAGCCTCGTCATCCTTGAGAGCACAGGACATCCTCAACCAAGTATGGCAAGAGCCAGCAGATTCCAGTGGACAATTCTGGATGGTCTGCAGACTTCTTGGGAGGTTCTGGTAGATTTCAGCCCCCATTGCCTTCAAGGCAACTTGGATAATGGCTTTCCACCTACTCTGTTTCTACTCTTCTCACACCTTCACTCTTGCTTCTCAGGAACACCTCCGACATAAAATAACCTAAGTCCTCATCCTGGGCTCTGGTGTAGGGGAAACTCAAGGGAAGACCATCTTTCCAAAATATATCATGTACCACCCTCTTTCTTAAACAGAGTGTACAAAATACGATGTTGCCTCTTCTTAATGCCACCGTGTCTAAAAATCTGTGACTCAGGGATTATGAGTATCAATGACTCTTGTTTTGTAGTGTTTAGGAGTCATCAAGGAGGAAAGCCTGAGAAGGCTCTGCTTTTTAGACTTACCCTGCCATCAGTTACTTCCTGTGGCACCTACTCTTCAACTCTACCCCTCTAATTTGCAAACTATCCGCTCTGACAGGAAATCTAGGAAATGATCTCCAAGCTTGCTAAAACTGCGTCTGAGACTAAGAGAAGAAGGGCCTGAGCTTCCAGAGGAGGTAGCGTCATGTAGAGTTTAAGAGCACACAAGTTTTGAGGTTAGACCTATCTGGGATCAAACGGTGGCTCAACCACCTACTAGCGGAGTCTGTTTCCTCATTCCAAAAACAAACTAGGACATCAGCAAAAATGGCAGAGTAGGCAACTCCAAAAGTCCATCCCTTCACTAAAGCAATGAATAAACTGGCAAAAACTGTCAGAACCAATTTTTTTGGAGCTCTGGAAACTAACAAGTTTGTAACAACCAGGGGAATGCTTAATCAAAAAAAAAAAAAACCAGCTGAATTTTAATAAGAGAGCTTTCTGGCATTTTCTGGTCCCACCACCCCCTCCCCAGCTTGGTGGTTTTGAACCAGCCCACATTCTCAGCAAAGATGGCAGTACTGGAGGGAGCAAGACTATTTTCAAAAAACTGTGGTGGTTTGTTTTGACCTACTTGGCAGCTCCCACCTCAAAGAGCTTGTTATGCCACCTACCTCAGAACTTGAGGGGGCTACCCAGGGGGTGTTTGTCAAAGACATTTAAAGGAAAAATATATGTATTAGTCTCCGCTGTCCAGGACAACAGCTGATAGTTGAGGCAAATATTATACTAACCAAAAAGACTGGGAGAAGCTGGGAATGAGTAGCTTTGGGGAGTAAGGGCTTTGAATAGCTCTGACAAGTTCCTGGGAGTCAGAGGTCCACATGCATGCCCAGGGCAGGGCACATGCTCAGAAAAGCCTAGGAAGGCCCTATGCACTCACATGGGGCTCACCTTCTGGCTCTACTCAGGCAGGAAGTGAAGACTAAAGCAGACTTACAAGCTGCCTGGCTGATGCTGAGGGCATGCCCCAACACACATTCTAGCTCCCGGAGCCACCTTCCCTTACTTCTCTCACCTGTGCCTGTGATAAGTGTCACAAAGTTTTCCAGGCCCTTTCCTTGGCCAAATTTCCTTTCCGCCAGGGCAGCACAATTGCCATCATTGTCCACCCACACGGGGAGATGCAAGGTGTCAGAGAGGGGGGTCCTGAGGTCCACGGAGTTCCATTCTTGAATCAGTTTGGTTGAGTGCAGCACAATTCCTTCCCGAGGATTTACACGGCCACCCGTAGAAATACCTGAGCTCCACCACACACATAAGGAAAATAATGCTCATAAGCCATCTTAGAAAAGTGTGCCAACTTCCTGGGTTTCAAACACAAATTAATTCACCCAAGATCTCCTAAGACAAATATTACCAAAGACTGCAAGGAAATGTCAGGCAATTCTGAGCTAAATCTGTAGCTCCCCACCAATGATAATGATTACTGGTGTTCCAGAAAGTCCCCATGCTTGGGGTCCAGACAGGACCTGGAGCCACATACACAGGGCAGTGACCTGATGGTCAGTTATGCATCAGAACTCAGTAAACTCTGTATATCAAAATGAACATTTCTTGAATATGCAATTCACAATCTCACCTACTCCCAAAATTCTGCAGTTCAGTTTTACAGCTTCTGCTGCAGCTTCTACACACATCTGTAGGATTAAATTAATCCTCTCTTCATAGGTTTTAGGATTGAACTGAGTATACTTCTTAACAATTTCACCCTAAAAGAGAAAAAAAACAAACCCTATCTCATTGATGGTACCTAAGGAGCATCCTGTGAATCTTCGGAACTTTTTCACGCTAAATCAGACTTTGCCATAGGACAGAGAGTCCTGTAGATTTAGATGAGTGCTTGGGAGGGAGCCACTCTGGTACAGGCCAGCCCTAAGATATGTCCAAGCCGTCTCCTGGGAAGCCGTCCTGAAGCAGTGACACCTCCACAGCAAACCACGGGCCCTCTTCCGGCACCTAGTGAATGCTGGCTAATCTCAATCTTCATGAGAAGGTCATAGTTTATTCTTTCAGGCTGACAAAATTTCCTTGCTTAAAAACTAAGGCAACTAAATAAATATCCTAAGGAGGTGAACCTTTAATCACCTCCCATAATGGAAGCCAATAGTAGCACGGTTCCATGATGTTTAAATTACCACGCTTTGTGGGCAACCCTCTCGGGTCCCCTTCCTCTTCGGGAGCTTTGTACTATCACATTGCTATCGCTCAATAAACTTTGCTTTGCTGCCCCCCGAAAAAAATAAATTACTGCGCTTTGTGATATGTTTTAATACTAGTCAAAGAGAGTCTCTCCTAAATTTTTTAAAAATTTTCTTTGCTCTTCTCATTTGTGCATTATTTTGAGTAAATTTCAGAACAGTGTTATTAAACTTTAAAAAAATTCCATTAAAGGGCGCCTGGGTGGCTCAGATAGTAAAGCATCTGCCTTCGGCTCAGGTCATGATCCCAGGGTCCTGGGATCGAGTCCCACATCAGGCTCCCTGCTCCTTGGGAACCTGCTTCTCCCTCTGCCTCTATCTCTCTGTCTCTCATGAATAAATAAATAAAATCTTTAAAAAAAAATTCCATTAAAATGTGGACTAGAATTATGTTAAACTTGTAATTCCATCTGGAAAGTGCTGACATTTTAACAATATTCAGCACTCCCATCCAGGACATTTTTCAAGCCTTTATCTTATATGCTAAAGTTTTATAGTTTTCTTTATATAGGTTACATAGTTTTTTGGTTTAGATGATTCTTACAATTTTTCTGGTTGTTGTTCTGAATAGGTTCTTTTTCCATTCTTTTGTTACTAACGGATTTTATCCATTTACAAGGGTTAGAGCTGTCACTAATGACTGTCATTAAAAATAAACCTAGCGGCACCTGCGTGGTTCAGTTGGTTAAAGGTCCAACTCTTGATCTCGGCTCGGGTCTTACTCTCACAGTCGTTGAGTTTGAGCTCCACATTGGGGCTCCATGCTGAGTTTGGAGCCTACTTAAACTAAACAAACAAACAAAGCAAACCTAAAGTTGTGCTTCTCAGACGTTCACTGTGCAGCAGAATCACCTGGGCTTTGAATAAATACTGATGCCGCCCAGAAATTCAATTTAGTTTTGGGGTGGGAGCCAGGTATCTGTATATTTTTAAAAGCTTCCAGGTAATGCTAATGTGCAGTCAGGCTAACAAACACTCATTTACAGGAAAACTCAAAAATCTTTGCCTAAAATTTCATGTAAGTAGGAAGTCACTGATATTTATATATTTATCCTAACATCTAACCATTTTACTCAGGTGTCTTATTAATTCTGCAAGCTTGCTTATTTATTCATATTGTCTACAATATTTTTTGTTTTACTCTGTGCACAATCTCCACTTGTGCTGTTTGTTCCTTGCTTTTCTTCCCTTCCTAACTTCCAGAATTATGTGCAATGTTGCAGAAAACATCTTTCTTTTCTTCTTGATTTTAACAGGAATGTTTCTAGAATTTAACCATTACAAAGCGTTCTGGCTAGTGACACAGAAAGACCATCTTTAGGTTAAGAAAATCTCTTAATGCTTTTTATTTTTTTAAAAGATTTTATTTATTTATTTGAGAGAGAATGAGAGATAGAGAGCATGAGAGGGAAGAGGGTCAGAGGGAGAAGCAGACTCCCTGCTGAGCAGGGAGCCCAATGTGGGACTCGATCCCGGGACTCCAGGATCATGACCTGAGCCGAAGGCAGTCACTTAACCAACTGAGCCACCCAGGCACCCGTCTTAATGCTTTTTAAAGAGTATTTACAAAGGAGACCATTGGCTTCTTTTGAGAAAATTACGTTTTGTTTTGCTTTGCTTTATTTGACCTAAACAACTTTATTTTTTAAATCCTTGCCATTTCTCATGGACTCCTAAAATTTTATATACTACAATATTTCAAACAAAGGTTTTTCTGGTACGGGGCGCCTGGGTGGCTCAGTTGTTAAGCGTCTGCCTTTGGCTCAGGTCATGATCCCAGGGTCCTGGGATCAAGCCCCACATCGGGCTCCCTGCTCAGCAGAGAGCCTGCTTCTCCCTCTCCCACTCCCCCTGCTTATGTTCCCTCTCTCGCTGTGTCTGTCAAATAAATAAATAAATAAAATCTTAAAAAAAAAAAAAGGTTTTTCTGATAGGTTTACTCTTAAGTCATCAGAGATCATTTTAACATGAAACAATTTATGTTTTTACGAAGGCTCTCTCAGTTTCTGTCAACACTGTGTTGGTCTTTTGGTTAAGGGATTGAAGGTATGCTGTACTCAACTAAAATCATGTTCTATCTAGAGAAGAAGCAATTCCCTTCATTTGCTGATACCCTCCTCTGGGTAGGGACAGTAATCAGCATGCTCCATGCTTTACCAAGTATAGAATTCCAGGTCTCCTGGATGGCAAGAGCCCTCTCTGGTGTGTAAGGGGTCTTCCACTGTCAACTCAAGTCTACTAACTTGGATTCCCAGAGAATTTTACTTCTTTGAAATGTTAATCCTTAGTAAAACAGGCAAACACTGTAATGGATCCAAAAGTCAATACTGTGGGCAAATGATTACAAGCTCTAATGTATGTTTCTAGTCCTACCTTCCAACCATACTTAAAAAAAAAAAAAAAAAATCTGTTATTTATATGAGATATGAAGTTAAGACTTAGGAATTATTTTACCTTCATGCTGACTATTGCAACTCGAAGGTTTGTCCCACCGAGATCAACAGCCAAGGCACTTAGAGTTTCAAGAATATGGTCAATATCTTGAGAGATATTCTCCTTCACAGGAGGAAAGCAGAATTTCTTTTGTAATGGCTCCTGAAGATCAATAGATTTAAGAAACTTCAAAATCCTCGGAACAGCATTTCCATCCCCATAGATCTTTGAACTGCAATATCAAAAAACTCAAATTAAATGCTTCTCTCATACATGTTAAATGACATGTAGGACATGGTAAAATAGAAACTGAGACTTCAGGTAATAAAGTTGTGCTTCTTCATTTTAAAATAACAACATCTGATATCTCCAGCAACACAGTAAGTACATGCACATTACTAACGGAAGGTCTAATTCTACTGCTGATTGAAATACAGCTATTTTCAGCCTCAGATACCATTAGCAAATGCCTCTATCATCAAAGACAAATTATCTTTGTTAAGCCAATTTCAGAATATAACATAGTTTGGGAAAACAAATTTATGTACTTATTGCTTTTTTAATCTTTACATTCATGGGGAAAAATAGTTATTTTCAGAACTCAAACATTTCAAACATTCAAATATAGGAAAATATCATTAATTTGAAATAGAAAGGAGAGCAGTCTAAATTACAATGCTGAACTATTTTTAAAGAAAATCAGTTATTTTCTAATATTTACAAAAAGTCAAAGTAGGCTAAAGTATTTCCTGGCAGAAGTGCTATATTAACTGAGACAAATAAAAGAAGTTATCCTCCATTTGAACCCCTGGTAGAATAACAGGGGTTATATTAGCAAGTCCTGTCTCACTAGCAGCTAGGGGACCCCTAGGGATGCAGAATGAAAACTGTTAAAATGACTGAAGAATGGTCACAGCTTAAAAATGGTACCCGAGGCAGCTCCCCTTTGAAATCACTAAAAAGGGTATATATACTCACCAAGGGTATTGTTTACCAAACTGAAGGTGCAATGCTTGCAGTATTTTGTCTTGGGTATCAGCATCCCGGACATGAAGGACATTCTCGCCTAGGTGAACCCAGTGACACATTACAGTGATTTGAAAGTGGAAATGTCCAAAGAATAAAGAAATTAGCAATGTGCTGTGTTGTGCTCAAAATTAACCCTGAAACCCAGAGGACTTCAAATGAGTCTTCTATTAGAGCAGCATCAACTTTTCTCCTTTATACCTTTTAAAGCACTCTCAGCAAGATTTCCATGTATCAAATACTTAAGAACACTAGGGTCCTTGGGGCGCCTGGGTGGCTCAGTTGGTTAAGCGACTGCCTTCGGCTCAGGTCATGATCCTGGAGTCCCGGGATCGAGTCCCACATCGGGCTCCCTGCTCAGCAGGGAGTCTGCTTCTCCCTCTGACCCTCTTCCCTCTCGTGCTCTCTCTCATTCTCTCTCTCTCAAATAAATAAAATTTTTAAAAAAAAAAAAAAAAAAGAACACTAGGGTCCTTTATCCCCAAAGAGAATCAATCAAGTTCTTGTTGGGGCGCCTGGGTGGCTCAGTCGTTAAGCGTCTGCCTTCGGCTCAGGTCATGATCCCGGGGTCCTGGGATGGCGCCAGCATCGGGCTCCCTGCTCCGCGAGAAGCCTGCTTCTCCCTCTCCCACTCCCCCTGCTTGTGTTCCCTCTCTCGCTGTCAAATAAATAAATAAATAATCTTAAAAAAAAAAAAATCAAGTTCTTGTTGATTTACTGAAATAAATGACATGCATGAATCTAGCACCTGCGAACCCTCCCCCCCTCCCCAGTTGTCTAGTGTGTCCACTCTTTCCATCATCTACTCAGCCGGCTGTTCATCAGCTGCTCAAGGGAGGTTGGTTAGTCAGTCAATAAGCCCGTCAGCTGTTCAGTCACTTTGTCTCCATGTATTTTCTGACCAATGCAGTGAAAATGGCCATATTTTTCAATAGAGCTGGCTAAGAAGAGAAGAGCAGAAGAGCGGTAGCTAGAGAGAGGTGTGGGGTCATTATTTCTAAGATGTGAGAGGCCGAGGCATGTTTCAATGATGAGGAGGCTGAAGATTCACGGCAGAGAAAGGATGCCCCTGAGGTCCCGGAGAAGGTAGGAAGGGTGGGGATCTAGAACATGGGTAGAAGGCTGACAGGCGGGCAGGACAGAGAGATGCCACAGCCTCCAAAGCAAACAGGTAAGAAGGAAAGGATGGATGGGCAGGTGTTTATCTAAGTGTGCTGACAGAATATACAAGACCGCCTTTGACAACAGAAGACCCGTTGCAAATCCAGCGTTCAATTGTCTGTTCGAATCGTCCTTAAACTCTCGGCAGCATTCAGCACTGTCTATTCAAAACACTTTCTTTCCTGGGCTTTAATGCTATCACCCTCCTGGGTTTCCTCTGACCCCACTGGCAGTTTCTTTTCAGTCTTCCTTGCCGGCCCCTTCCTCCTCACCAGAACTCTAAATGCTGAAGGGCTCCAGCGGTTGGTCCTAGGCTCCATTCTCTTCCCTATTTACATGTCACCCCTGGGCAATCTCATGTAGTCCCTTCATTTTAAATGACATCTCTGGCAGAGTGCACCATTATCCTCCATAGCCCTTCTCTGTACTAGTATCAGAATTTTTAGCTGGGTATCCGATAATCCAGCTAAAGACTACATTCTTCAGCTTCCCCTACAGCTAGATGTGACCCTGTGACTATATTCTGATAGGATATGTGAAGAAATATTTGCAACTTCTGAGGGGGGTGTGCTTTTAAAAGGAAGGACACCTTTCCTCTCTTCCTTCCCAATGGCTAAAATGTGGACTTGACAGCAAGAGGTGGAGCATCTATCAAGAAGACAGACAGAGGCTAATTCTCTGATGACCATGGAACTATACCAATGAGAAACAAAGAAAATCTAACTTACTTAGGCACTATTATTTTGGGTCTCTCTGTTACAGCAAATGAACTGATATCTTAACTAAACACCATCCACGTACCACCAATCGCTCTCAAATTTCTATCTCCAACTCTGACCCTCCTAGAACTATCTAGCTGCTTGCTTGCCATGTCCACTTTGAAATCTAACAGGCACCTCAAATTTAACACGGCCATTAAAGAACTCTTAATTCCACCCCTCCCAAATGTTTTCCTCCTGCAGCGTCCCCCATGTCAGGAAAGAGTACCCCCACTGCTCCATCCAAAAATCTAAAAGTTTCTTCCTTTCACTGCTCACATCCAAGCAGCAGCAAGTACTCTAACAAACCCCCAATCTAACCTTTGTCCATCTCTGTTGTTACCAGGTACTCTAAGCCAGGACCATCTCTCATAGGACCTGAAATAACCTCTTAATTGGTCTCCCTGCTTCCACTCCTGTCCCCCCACATTCCACTCTCCATAAAGCAGCAGAGTGGTCTTTCCAAAATCCAAGTCACATGGTGTCCTCCTCCCATAAAAATGGCTTGCCATGATACTTAGAAAAATATCCCAGATTATTTACCCTGGCTTAAAAAGGTCTGCCTCCTTCTCTTACATCATCTTGTATCACTCTTCCTCTTGCCCACCACCTTACAGCTACACTGGCTCTTCTGTTTCTCAGATACGTCAGGCTTGTTCCCAGCTTAGGGTCTTCGTGCTGGCTGTTCCCTCTGCTTCTCCCTGATTCTCACATAGCAGATTCACTGTCACTCAGGTCTCGGCTGAAGTGTCATCTGCTCAGTGAGGCCTTCCCTTATGCCATCTAATGTATCCCATCATATTACCTTGTGTTACAGCCTGCACAGCACACAGAACATCTGATACTTTTCTTTTTCTTCTTCTCTATTTTTGGTCTATCATCCATCTCCCCTCCCACTAGAATAAAGCTACATGAGAGCTCAGTCCTGGTTAGTATAGTTTACTGCCAAATCCCAGTGCCTACACATAGTAGGTGCTTATTAAATATTTTCTTAATGAATGAAGTTGAGAGAATTTCAATTCAATGGTTTGTATTTTCTCTGTGAAGTGGGGAACAAAGTAATATGTTGGGAATGAAAGAGAAGAAAGACCTAAAGGTAACAGAAAATTAGGGTAGCAATTATGAACACAGAAAGAGCAGAGCTGGAACTAACCTCTTTGATTCTAGTCCAGTTCTTTGTCCACAAAGTATATACATTTTTCCATTAGCTACAGAAATATATTTGCATGGACACTATTAGAACTTGGACTAATATTAATAACGAGATCTAGCTCAGCTAGTGAATTCATTAATAATAATCCTTCTTATATTTTAGTTATTAAGGGGGCATCTTATTTAGAATTTCCATGCTCTAAAGTACTAAAGGCACTCTACTGTACCCACAAATGGAAGACTAGCATTCATATACTTAAAACACAATCATTCTATCTTAAACACAGCCATCAAAGACCATAATCAGCTAAGAAAATCTTAGCTCTGACATTTACAAAGACAATAAAAATATTAAGTAGAGCCCTAAGAAAAACAAAAATCACTCTGTGCTATTTACAGATTTTAGGCGACAACTTGGTCATTAACCTCATTCTCTCACTCATTCATAAAAATGCATGCCAGTACCAATACATGCAAACCTTGTAGTAATTCAAATACAGGATGAAAAAAAGGTCACAGATGTATAAGGGGGAGCCCATGTTTCATGCCTCTCCCCTCATACTCTCCTAGGTACTGGCCACCAGGGGCGGCAAAGCTGCCAATCTGACTGGTCAGGCAGCAGGGCAGCGGCCACAATGGTTCACCAGTGGGCAGGAGCCACTGATTCCACACAGATTTCTAGTCAAGTGAGACACAAACTGAGGTAAATACCTGTTTCTCTTCCAATCTGACGTGTTCCTAGATTGATCACAGGTGTTCCAAAAGCTCCAACCTCTCGTACTCCACAGCTGCTGTTCCCAATCATACAACCAGCGTGGGCGACCAACTGTATGAACTGGTCAAATGGGACATGTTTAACTGCACGGAAATTGGGATGATGCTCAATGCCCTTCTTCCGCATCACTCGAACCATTTCTTTGCTCCCTGTGAAAATGAAAAGAACCACCTGTTAAATGGCTTATGAGATAAATGGTTTATGAGATAAACCATTTCCACTGGCAAGTAAAGCCCCACCTAAAGAAATCACCCTATAAAAATTCACGACGGTTATTAGGGAGACAGTAATTTTAATTACTGATCTTTTCAGGAATGATGACTAAAATGTCTGGTCAGCTCTCTGCTTCAACTCATCTAGGAACTTTAAACAGCAGCATTTGGGACATTTCAAAGAGCATTCAGCAAAGGAAATACCTTTTATTGATGCCCCAATAAAGCTCTACCTTAAACAGCAATTAAGAGGTTCAAGACAGGCCAGCACTCTCTCTCTTAAGCTGGGAGTTCCTAAACTGAAAGGTCTCAGGCTCCACACACCAAGCTGATCAGAGAGCCTCTGCCTCAGCTATGCTCATATTTACCCTAACAATAGCTCAACTGGATAGCACTCCCACTTACACGGAGGAAGCTCCAAGAAAATACATGTAGAATCCGATACTGTCGCTGACATTTTATTTCAAATGCCTAATTTTTTTAAATGTTAAACATGTATGAGGGGAGGCAATATTTAATGCCTCTCAGCTTGCCTCTTTACTCACCCTTTCCTAGCTACCATCTAGAAGGATATAAGGTTGCTACCGAGATTGGTTAGACAGCAGGACAGGGACCAGAGACCACACCATGTTACCACACTGTGTTCACCAGTGGGCAGGAGCTACTGACTTAAGAGAAGCGGGACATGCGTGTGTTTTCTCTCTTTTTAACATTCTCTATGTGGTGAGGTAGATAACAGACTCAGGGTGTAACTCTTTACAGCAGGCCTGACCACCTCTCTCTATGCCCAGTCCTGCCAGAGCATGCCAGTCACTGACTATAATTACTGCAGTATTTGGTACACCAGAAGATGGTACTACTCCAAGATTCAGATCTCGGCTCAGTGAAGGCTTTCTCTGGTTTAGGCTTAAACACTACGTCTGTTCTCCTACATTGGGGAATTGGGCCCTATACCACATAATGATAAAGAGATGCCACGATTATTTCCCTACTGTTCCTTATGTATATTTTATCAAAAACCCTGTGAGAAGGAGAAGTGAGTAGCAGACATGATTTAGGTATTGCTGGGACCCTTTATTTTCCTAGGGGAAAAATATCTCTAATTCTAAAGTGTATACAATCAGGAAAGTATTTAACAAACAGAGTATCGCTGACAATGAATACTGAATGAGAGACATATAATTACATTACCAAATGTTTAGAAAATTGAAAGGATTAGAAGAATCAATATAAAGGTTTTTGAGATACTGGTACATTACCTGGATGAAACCTGGGTTGGGGGTTCTTAATTTCTTTTTTTCCAACTAACATCCTACATTGTTTCCCCTAACAGAAAAGATCATTCAAGAGACACTAAGAGAGGGATACTTTCAGAGTAAGATGGTGACATCTTGGTATTGCAGGGAAGGGTCCTGCCTCCTTCATCAAAAAATGCCTAAAAGCTCAGCAATGAGTGGTATCAGCTAAACCAGTAATTGAAAATTCTGCAGTGTCAGGTCCTGCTCTGCATTTCTCATTTATATCTCATCTTCCCATTAACCTGCTTAAGGTCTCACCAGCACCAAAGGCTACAGTACCGTCCACCAGTAGGTGGTCAACCAGGTCAGGCTTGAGGATGAACTGGCTGGGGACTCCAGATCTCAACTGCCTATGCTCAAAACTAAGGTATAGCTAATATAAATAAGTAAGAGAACAAGAAATAACGGTGGCTATTTTACTGCACTCACTAGGATCATTAGTCTTCTAGAGACACCCTTCAACCTTCTAAGGTTAATGTCTTTTAGCTGCTGCATTTTCTCATTGGTAGAAACTGGAGGGAAGAGACTAAATTTGGAACTACAGTGGAGACTGGAGAAATTTTTTGTAGTATTTCTTTCCTTTCAGTTTCTACTAAACTGAGCAAAAACATCACAAACTTCCATCTACTACAAATTTGGTGATCCCCTGACAATTGGAATGCATTTCAGACTACAATGGCTTCAATGATAAAAGCAAGACAGGAGGGGCAGTCAAAAGAAGACATAATAGAAACAGCAAATCGGAAAAGTAGGTGGCATATCTTCATTTTCAATTACCTGCATCAATGTTTGGAAACAGAACTAGGGTCCGCTTGTTAAATGAGATAAGCGCATCCAATGTTAATTCAAACATTTTTATGGAATGCTTAATGTCAGTGGTCACAGGGTGCTGTAGCGCAACAATGTAATCTTTAGATTTTACATCATCACCTGTTTAAAGAAAAATCAAACCACACTGCTTCATTAGTTAAGAATCTTAAAGAGGAAGAAGCAAATTCTAAAAAGCAAGACCCCAAAGTCTGTGCTTAAAAATTCTAAGGAAAAAACAGTTTGCCACATTCCAGGCAGAGTATCTGAATACAGGATCAAACAGTAAGAACTCACAGGAACAAGTCCAGGAATCTAGCAAAGTTAACATTTGACAAAGGCGCTTGCTACCACAAACAAAAATATATAACTTTCAACAGTAGTCACAAGAATCTGTTGCTTTAAAATCCAAAATACTGCAAAGCATTAGAAAAATGTAAATCTTCCCGATTTCTAACCAGTGTTTCTAATGAATTATCAACAATATTAATGAACTGATGAAGCTCAAGATTACTTTAATGCATAGCTAATATAAATAAGAGATCAAAAAGTAGCAGTAATGGCTATTTCCCTGTAGTGCGTAGGGCCATTACCTTCCTAGAGACACCCTCCCACCTTCTACGGTTTATGTCTCTTGGCTACTGCATTTTCTCATTGGTGGGAACTGGAAGGAAGAGACTAAACACGCAACCTCTTGCTCCTCAATGTGCAACTTCTGACATCACTCTGCTTTGTCTCACTCAGCCCTTCTACACAACCCTTTCCATTAAGGTATCATCATTTTGTTTCATGTTGTAAAGTTCTCTATTTACTGTGGCATTTCTTTATTCGGAATTTAACAAGTCTTTTTAACTTTTTTTTTTTTTTTAGAGAAGGAGGGGGAGGGGCAGAAGGAGAGCGAGAGAGAATCTTAAGCAGACTCCATGCCCAGCACAGAGCCAGACGCAGGGCCCAACCTCACGACCCTGAAATCAAGAGTCAGAAGCTTAACCAACAGGGCCATCCAGGTGCCCCAAATCTTTTTAACTTTGCTACTATTTTTACTATGACTGTTATTAATTCATGTTCTGATGACGAAGTTGCATGCTCTCAGTGGCCTACCCAATCCTATTCTTCATATAAGCAGAGTGATGCCATCAGAAGTTGCAGGTGGAGAAGCAGTTACAGGTTTTGCACAAAACATACTGGCAGGGGTGGGTGGCTTAGACTCATTGCCTTTTCTTTTCCAATGGCTTAAAAAAAAAAATCTACTTTTTGCTATTTTGTCATCCTTCTTTTCATAAAGAAACTGCTGAAATAGTTCCAAATAGAACCTTAAGCCCCACAAGTACAATCTTGCCACATTTTGCTTTATAAGGGTTATTTGCTATTCGTTACATTTTTTCAGAAATACTAAGTTTTTCAGAATCCATCTAGAGCAAACAGTATAATCAGAATGCAAGAGTGTATACTTAGAAACATGCAAAAGGGAGGGGTGCCGGGGTGGCTCAGACGGTTAAGCATCTGCCTTCGGCTCAGGTCATGATCCCAGGGTCCTGGGATCGAGTCCCACATTGGGCTCTCTGTTCAATGGTCCTCTGGCCCTCCCCTGGCTCATCTCTCTCTCAAATAAATAAAATCTAAAAAAAAAAAAAGCATACAAAAAGGAGAGCCTGAAAAGACAGAATTTATTCCATTGGCATTATCTAGACAGGCTCCTTGATAACTAATATCTGTCCAACGGTAAGAAATACATAGATTGGATTAACTCATTAGTAGGAAAGCCCTATTCCTTTCCTGTTCTAATGTGATCTAAATTAAAAATATACACAATCACAGGGCACCTGGGTGGCTCAATCAGTTGAGCTCTTGGTTTTGTCTCAGGGTCATGATCTCATGGGTTTGGGGATCGAGACCCATAGTGGGCTCTGCACCCAGCAGGGAGTCTGCTTGAAGATTCTCTCCCTCTGCCCCTTCCCCCACTTGCTAGAAATATATATATATACACCATCACTAAATCAATTTTTTTTAAGTAGGCTCCACACCCAGTGTGGAGCCCAACATGGGCTTGAACTCATGACCCTGAGATCAAGACCTAGGCTGAGATCAAGAGTCAGGGGCTTAACCGACTGAGCCACCCAGGTGCCCCACACTAAATCAATTTTCTATTCATTAATTTCATTATACTATAGATCTACCTCTTAAAAAAGCAGAGTCCCAAATGTCTAAGATTGGTCTTGATTTGCCCTCTAGATAGTACACTCAGTATAAATTAAGCAACTGACATTCTGTTTATAAAACTTTCCTTTGCCTCTTATTCAAAAAAGATAATTTCCAGGAAGCTAGATCATTGATCAGTGAAGATTTCAGAACTTAAGGCTATTTACAGAGATAATCCTAACGGTACAACTATGACTTTTTCTTTAATTATAATCACCACAATCCCTTATGTTAATAAGTACTTACAGCTTACTGCTTTCAACATTATCTGAGTATTCCAACAATCTCATATGAAAGACATTAAAATTAAAAATAGTTTTTTTCAGGGGCACCTGGGTGGCACAGTCAGTTAAGTCTCCAACTCTTGGTTTCAGCTCAGGTCATGCTCTCAGGGTCGTGGATCAAGCCCTAAGTCGTGCTCTGTGCTCAGCATGGAGTCGGCTTGGGATTCTCTCTCTCCCTCTACCCTTTGCCCCTCTCCCACCACCAACCCCTCTCTCTGTCAAATAAATAAGTCTTTAAAAAAAAAGTTTTTCATTCCCCAAAAAACAAAATATAGGAAACCAAAAACCAAAACACCCACAACTCTACTAACCAGAAATAAACATTATGAATGATTTGGTATACATACTTCCTAATCTTTCCATTATGTTATAGTTTTTTTTCATTTTTTTTTAAGATTTTTTATTTATTTATTTGAGAGAGAGAGAATGAGAGAGAGACAGCACATGAGGGGAGGGAGGGTCAGAGGGAGAAGCAGACTCCCCGCTGAGCAGGGAGCCTGATGCGGGACTCTATCCTGGAACTCCAGGATCATGACCCGAGCCGAAGGCAGTCGCTCAACCAACTGAGCCACCCAGGCGCCCCATTATGTTATAGTTTTAATTAAAATGGCATCCTATTATACATATAATTTTGTAGCTTGTTTTTCCTCCTTGTTGTTATATCAGGATCTGTCCTTGTAACTATTTACCCACAGCATATTTAATGGATTAAAAGCATTCCATTCTATAAATTATAGCACAGATTTTTTTTTTAAGATTTTATTTATTTAGTCGACAGAGAGATATAGTGAGAGCAGGAACACAAGCAGAGGGAGTGGGAGAGAGAGAAGCAGGCTTCCCGCGGAGCAGGGAGCCCGATGCGGGGCTCCATCCCAGGACCCTGGGATCATTGACCTGAGCTGAAGGCAGATGCTTAACGACTGAGCCACCCCAGGTGCCCCAAATTATAGCAGAGATTTAAAAAAAATTCAATCCATTAAGACTATTCCACAGAAAAGGTGAGTCTCAGAGAGGTGAAGTCATACCATAGGGTGAGATCTATGAACGAAAACGTTAGCCTTCCGAATTCTAATGGAATATTCTACCTACAACAGTTTCTAAAAAAAAAAAACCTGAAACATACCCAAGAGGACAAAAACAACCATTAGACTGAATAAAGTTTGATACATACCTAACCACATCCGAATGATGCTCATGTAGTCTTTGTTCTTGGCAGAGAGAAGCTTGTCATAGGAAGGGCAGCCCGCCAGAAGGATGCGGTCATGGTCCTCACACATGGATATCAGGTGTTGCTCTGCACTTCGGGTGCAGCATACATGATAATGAGCCAGTTTTGTTATGGCATGTCTGATAGAATCATCAATGGTCCCACTGACTTCCCCACCTTCAATATGAAGGATTCGGATATTCATCAAGGCAGCAGATGTAGCCAGAGCCAGGGCATCAAACCTGTCTCCATGAACAATCATGATATCAGGCTTCAAGCGATTAAGGACATCTGGTAGCTTCACTAGGGCCAAGCCCACTGATTCCACCATGGCTGCCTCATCTTCCCCTCTAACAATTGTGTGTAGCCTGGTGTTAATGTCAAAGTCATCTTGTTCAATCATGCGGTATGTGTTCCTAGAGCAGAAGAGAAAGATATGAGAGAATGTTCAACACAGGGCCATAAAAACATATGAAAAAAGCAATCTAACATCAACCCTGAAGGGAGAAATATTTTCTAAAATCTACTTGTTAAAACAAACCAAAGTATAACTTACAAAAACTGAAAAACACAGATCATAGGTGTACAGATCGCTTATTTTACATGAATACCCCTGTGGCCACCGCCCAGATCAAGATGTACCACTTTCAGCACCTGCAAAGTCTCACTAGCGCCCTGGTCAATACCTGGATAGAGAAACACCTGAAGGAGAATTTTTTTTT